ATATTGCTACAAGACTATCAAATCTATAAGCAAGTACAATTCAAAATAATAATTATTTAACTCAATTAGGTATTATTTAGAATATGTAATAAATATTATTTATAAAACTTTATAAATTTATTAATTTAATTAAATAAAAATTATTATAATTAAACTTAAATTTTAAAATTTTAAAAAATTACTACAAAATTTAATTCGGATTTTTTTTGTCAAAAAAATTAATTAAGAAAAAAAAAGTTATTTATTATAAACAAACCTGATGATTTTAGTATAAGTAAGAAATACACATTATCAATAATTTTAGATTAATACTTCAAAAATTTGTAACTTTTTAATAATATTTTATCAAAGTATTTATTATCATTCAACACATGAAAGATTAAGCATCAAATAATAATATTGCTTAAATATTTATATCAAAGATGACTTGAGCATTTTAATTACAATAAAACCGTCCATAAAATGATCATGTCCCTTATTAATAACATTAATTTTATTTGTAAATACATGTTTATATATATATATATATATAATTATGTGTATATATATATATATATATATACACAGAATTGAGTCAGATCAAATAATATTATTTTGTACATAAATTTGGTATGTTTTCTATGTTCTATAAAAATAAAATAAAAATAAACAACTATCTTTTAAATGATTAATCTTTCTTGCAGAAATATTACATAAAATTATGTTACACAACATTGTTATAATAACATTATTTGTTTTATTCTATAACATGCAACATTTAACGGTTTTAAATTATGACTAATTTACATGTAGGGTGATGTAGATCAAACTCTTTTGTATTAGCACCTAAATAAATCTATAAGCAACGATTTATAAGTTGGTGCACATATTTAAACTCCACAATTCACAATAAATACTTTGTAACTGTATTTGGTGTTAATGCGTAATTTTTAAGAAATATGATATGTGATGTATGTTGGTGCAAATATAACATATTTCTTCTACAGAAACCTACACACACATTCAAACCTACTCACAACATTTTAATGCTTTCTTGTAGAACTCCAAAATGTTACTGTTTGTTTGTTTGTTTGTTTGTTTTTATATTGATACATGCGTTATGCGTCACCCATTCTTTTATCTGTCGAAACAAAGCAAGTCCAACTTTGTCAACTAAAAGTCAAATACCTTGTATGGGCTTCGACCACATGGTTGTCTTCGTCCTCTTCATCGTCGTCGTGATGCTCGTGCTCGCCCGCCACTGTGACCTAGAAGTCATTCGGAACACCACAGCACAGTCACAGCGTCTGTCAGATCGCGCGGTGTCGTTGGTGTGTGCATTAGAACAAAAACAAACAAACGAAGAAAGAAGAAGAAGAAAGAAAGAGGAGGGAGAAGAAGAAGTAGATTAGAAAAGAAAAAAAAAAAAAAACAAATGAGAAGGGCGGGGAGGGCGGGGCTTTCCAATCTGGTCTGGAGCAGTTCCCGAGTGAGATCGGCACCAGTCCTGCTGCACCTGCTCCTCCACCTGCGTCCTCATCACATCTGAGAATGGAAGCTACATCAATCCACTCTCTGTTGTCTGTAAGACATCAACGACTGCCATTTCCTTCGTCTTTTGTCGTTTTTCTGTTGTCTTGTGTTCCACGGTCGCCGTCGTCGTCATCGCCATCATCATCGCTGTCGGTGTCTACATCAAAGCTCTGCAAGCGTTTAGCACACTTCTAGGGCGTTTCTGTGTCTGCTTGCCCCACTCAACTCACTCACAGGTCTTCACAAAAAAAAAAAACAAAATAGAAATTTATCATTATCGCAGACGTATTTCTAGTTCATATTTATACTTGCATCGAAAAACAAACAAAACAAACAGTGCTGTAATGGTGAATTTCGCATACCTCATTGCAATCAATAAAACTGAAAACCTCCAAGTATTTGTTAAGTCATTCTTCAAGCGTTCCGATCTTTGAACAACGAGTTGTGCTAACAGAGTCAACAACACCGTGGTAGAGGAATAAATGTAAACAATGAGGAGAAGGACTAACATTTTCATGCTTCAGCGGATATCCGTATTTTCTCTATTAAAATTATTGTTCTAAAGACAAGTTTAAGGTCATTTGTGGAGCCGTATTCACCGGAAAGTGAGAGTGCATGTGACAATATTTTTGTATAATTATGTAGAAAAGCGAAAGGAAAAAAGCGAAAAAAGGGAAGGACTTCTATCAACACGATTGAGCATTAATAAGAGGGACTGCGATTGCAGTGAACAAAATTTGTATTGGAAGGGAACGAAGTAGGGGAACAAGGTGGGACTGTCAGTTGCATCATTAGGGGAACCAGTAATACGTCCAGGGTTGCTTAATGGGCACTTTCTGGTTCCCATGCAACTGACCGAGTTCCCATCCCAAGAGGACCAGGAGGACTGACGTAGTGGGCTCAATAACAGATCCATTCCCCCTGCATTCACATCCCTGGGAGGGTTTTCCCGTCTGTTACAAGTAATCTGCGTCACTGAAATCATCCAACTCTGAGATTGCTCCAGAGTTTGTACTTATGATTAGGGTTTTGAGATCTAGTTGAACTCTTTTAATAATATATTTATGATCGAATATCTCATCTATTATATAAAATGGTTTAAGACATCGATTGCAGTGCTCGACAACATTCATTTCTACTAGTGTATGTTTATAAATTATATATATATATATATATATACATAGAATCCAAAGAAATCTAGGTTCAAAGCATGCAATTTTGTGATTTTCAATGTGCTTTGCATTGCACTCCTTTGGAATGTATTATATATATATATATATCTTGGTTTAGACACAAGCAATCTATTAAGATTTTGCAGAAGAATTTTATCACAAGGATTTCCAAGAAATTCCATCTGAACATTCACCATTGAGTGTAAGATTTTTGTCAGTTGTTTTTGTTTATTTAATTTTATAATCTGAAATATATGATTTTTTTTTTATATATAGATCTTTTGTTTTCATTCAAATAACCACAAGTACATCCTTGAGTAGAACTAAAACGGGTGCAAGTGTCTATGTATATGCATATATATATATATATATAAATACATCTACTTCTTAAGGTACTAAGCAACTAGTTTTTGAGCTGTCAATAAGAAGTCAATCTTTCCCCTGTTTTCCATGCAAATAAAAACAAATACCGAACATTCTGTAAAATTAACGAGTTGACAATGAATTAACAACAAAACAAAACAAACAAGATAAAGAAGAAGAAGACCATGTTTCAATCACAGAAATAGAAAATTGTTGCGTGCAAACCCTTTCTCGGGACTTTCCTGGGGCACGAAACCTAAATTAACTTACGATATGTATTGGAATAGTTTGCTAGGTAGAACGAGGCATGAATGGGCTATAAAAACAAAGAGGTTTCTGTAGCAAAACACGAGGCATGAATAGAGGAATGAAGTGGAAACAAAAACCCTAATGATAGAAATTGAGGAGAGGCACCTCTGGCCGTTAGGAGTCTTGGGAAAAGGACATAAGAAAAGAGAGGTGCCAGCTTGGCAGGCTGTAAATGGTGCAACCCCTCCACATTCTCGCCTGGAAATGCTGCTGGAATCGAATTGCGAATCAGTTGGGAGCTAAATTTAGAAACTGTTCACGAATTTAGGGTTTGGAGACCCGGGCAAGGGGGGGAGCCGGGTGGATTTTACCCGGCATTCCATTTGCTCAACCCCTTTAGCAATGCCCTCTTGTGCCGGGTCATATCTAAATCCCGCTACTTCACACATATGGCCCTGTTCACACATAAGTTCCACTGTTCACCATGGTCAAACCCAGTTGACCAACGCAAGCCCATTGCGTTGTCATGTTCTAATCTGTTCGTAAAAAGCTACTATTTTTAAAAAAAAACGCACGCAAAAAAGTAAAAAGTAAAAAGTTGGTTCATTCTGTGGTAAAGACATCTTGAAAACATTTATTTCTTACTAGTGAGTTTTGAATGAATAACTACTCTGAGCTGGTTGAGTATTATACTATTACCCTTTGTAAGTTTATAAAGATCTGTATTGGATTTGATTCCTTACAAATAGATAGGCGTGGGTTTTGTTTTGAAATGTGCACTTGCATGATTTTTATTGTGTGATGATTGGTCTTTAATGGTCTACATGTATAGGAAACAAAAGAGTTCATTGGAAGGTAGATCTAGTTATTTTGAAACAATTTCAAGAGATTTCATGTTTCCCCAAATGTGAGGCCACTTTTTTCTTGCATTGTATTATGTGCATGTATTCTTCTCCTTTCTTTGAAGCCACATGTTGAATGTGGTTGTTGTGACTGGAATATGACTTGATACCTGCACATTTGGTAATGTATTTGAGCAAAAACCTCCATTAGTTACAAACAAAAAAAATGGGTACTCAAAATACTGAAGATACTTAAATTTTTCAAATAAAAAAACATATATTTTTTTTATATTGCAAGGCACAATGTTCTATCACCAATAATTCACCTCCCTCCCCCCAATGTTCGGTGGGATTTTGTTCCTACAGTGAAAATAAAAGAGAGAGCGAGGAAGGTAAATAAGGGTAGGAATGAGAGTAACAAACAATGAGACGAATTACACCACACTGATGAATGAAGAGCAGAAAATGAAGAGATTAACATGGATGATTATATTACATGAAACACAAGGGTAGTGGGTCCACATAAGAATTATACCAACAACACCAAATCATTCGGCATGCATTTGTCATTCTCAATTTCGACTTTATTAAGCCCTATGACCGCTTGCTTGTGCATAGGGAGCACACTACCGTGTTGATTTGAAATAGGGGACAGTTGTGATTTGAAATGTTGGGAAATAACAAAAAGCAAATAAGAATTGAAATGTTATCACCTTTGCATGCGTGTACACAAGCAGAAGAGACAACATACAGTCGACTCTGTCGACGGAGATGGGTGCCCGAGGACCCGAATCCCGCTGCCGCGGCAATGCACGACGGTTCCTTTTAGAGACAAACTCTTCTTCTTCCTCCACCGAGGCACGCTCCCCGAGCGACTCCAGAAGCCTCATGATGAGCGCCGATCATCTGTGCATTCAGGATTCGTCTTTTGGTTGCCTCTGTACAATAGATTTGTCAGCGTTGAGGAGCGCCTCATGTGTTCGTGATGATTACAGGGATTAACTTTCACATTTTATTTTATTTTTTAGTGTGAAAATTCCCCTTTAGGCGAGTGGTCCGTGTTTTCTGGGGTTGTATTCGTTGCTTGTATTCGCAACTGTATTGTCAGACAGGGTCTGGTAAGGAGCTTGATTCGTGTAAACAGAATGTGGTGGAACAGGATGGGTAGAATGATGAGAGATGAAGAAGTGAGAACTTCAGAAGAAACGGTGTCGTGGCTTATATTTCGTATAAGCGCTAGGGATGAGCAGTAGCTAGGCTGTCGCGACTACGTTGGACAGTGTGTTGGGCAATCGAGAGCTTGTATTGGAAAAGAGCTAAAGTTGTTTCAAGTTTGGTAGTTGTCTGCAGTCTAGTAGACTTCAATTTGAGAGAAAGCGCGTACTTCGAGGAGGTAAGAGGCTACCCTCTGTTTTGCCGTCATTTCGTTGACCGCGACGTCGTTGCATTTGGGATGGCGTTTTTGGGTTTTTCTGGACGCGGGGTTCGACAGTGAGGAAAATTTGTTGCACTTGTTCGAATGGGAGTTATTGTGACGGATTGGTGCCCTTGGCTATTCTGTCGTGGAGCTCCTATCGCACTAGATTGTTACAGTTGGAAGGTGGGATGAGTTTTAGTCGATTTGCGACGACGTGCCTAGATTTGACTTCGTAGCCTTTCACCTTCCTGGCGACAAGTGGGCCTTGCAATGTTCTTCCATGTATGTGTTCTATTTGTAAGCACCCCCGCGTGAAAGTTAAGTTAGACGATGTCTAATAGTTGAGCCGCACCACATTTTTTGACTGCGTTGCTTGTGATCGTCTATAAAAGTTTCTAAAGCCTTGAAGTGCGAACTCGAATGTGACGATCGTCATATTTGCAAAAACTTCCCGGCACAGCAAAGCAAGTTATTTTGCTGTTCTTCTCTAGTCCGTTGAAAAGGCTATCGGTTGTGTTTCTACTGGCGAGAGTTCTGCAATGAACCATAAGGACGGCGTTCTCCTCCTTAGTTCTTCATGCCATTTTATTAGCATCTTGTTCTTTTAGTTGACCTTCTCGATAGTGGAAGATAAGCGAGTCTCAGTCGCTGGATTATTAATGCGAAGCATCCTATGCAGGTATGGAGCAGTAATTTGGAATAGCTAGAACTTGCCATTTACTGCCTTCAGGGGTGTTAGACTTAGGGCTGCTTTTATGCGCATGGTTTTCAGTGTTGACTACATGGAGTTGATTGTCATTTTCCGGCCTCCGGCAGGATGTCACAGGCTCTAGGAGTCTTCTTTCGTTGTTGATGGCGGAACCGGAGATCTCCGTGAAATGCTCTGGAGAGGCCGTGGATGCATCGAGCGTCTTGGTGAGTCAAGAGCAAAGAGATATTCTGTGCCAGAACTCGAGCGTTGCATTTTCAAGCTCAGAGGAACTAGGGGAGTCGAATAGGGCATATGAAATCAGAGAGAAGGAACTGTTAGGATCTAGGTTCAGCGATAGTAACAATGAAAAGATCCGTGGAAATAAACATCACAACAAGGTGACAGACAAGGCTTCAGAGAACGGGAATTTCAACTCTTTCCCAGAGGATACGAAGAGTGACACTGTACAGGACCTAAGGATTGGTGGTTGGGGAAACCGAGGACAGCATTCGAATGAAGCCTTGCAAGATCATTACAATGAATTAGTTCCATCCACAAGCCTTGACAAGCCTGAAAATCTTGAGAATGTCTTCGGGCAAGTTGCTGAACGATTGGTTACGACTACATCATCGGGGGAGAGAAAGGATGTCGATCAAATAGTGTCAAGTTTCCTCTTGAAGCAGTTGAGGAGCTTAGCTGCAAAAGAAAGAGATTTAGAAGCCAGGTTGAGCCAAGAGGCAATTGAACATGTCGTAGAGAAAGTGGAGGGTGAGGTTGAACTTGAACATGTAATCAACGAAATGTGGTTCAGTATGCGTGCTGACGAGGAAGAACGGGAAATGGAACGAAGGGAGAGGGATTTTGAGATGGAAAGACGTGAGGTACAGCTTGAAGATGAAGTCGGAATATTGCAGGGGAAGGTTCGTCGTCTGGAAGATGAGCTACGGCTCAGTCATACTGAGAAGGGCTTTGCTCTGCTGAAAAAACAGGATGAGATGGATGATGTGATCCAGAGAATGCTTGGGGAAAAAGAAAGGCTGGACGCTGCAGCAGTTGGAGATAGTTCTGCACCAAATGGATCGGAGCTGGTGACTGCCTCTCCAAATCAGCGTCCCGGAGCTAGTCCACAGAAGGCTGTCTTTCTTGCCTTTGAGGATATGCTTAAGGAGACTGATGAACGGGCTAAGCAAGATCGACACGCCATTGAATCGACTCTGCACGCGAAAGCGGATTTGGAGAATATTTTTCAGCACGAACAAAGGAGGTCGCTCGAGAAAGAACGACAACTGGAAAGCAGGTTGCTTGCAATGGAGAAGGAGGTAAGCAGGGTCTCGGGTGTACTGAGAGAAGCTGAGTTGGCCTTATCGGTTGAGCAAGCTAGGCGGAGAGAAGCACATTTGGAAGTAGAACACGTGCTTGGAACGTGGAAGGAGGAAAAAAAGATTAGAGGGGAATACGAGGAGAAGGCGAAGAGGCTGTTGTCCTTTCTGATGAGCATTAAGGATAAGTTAACTTCTGGCGAGGATGGTGAGGATGATGCCAAGAGCAGGCTAGCATCTGTTTCGAAGGACGTGGACAAGGAACTGCAAAGGATGAGTTCCAAAAGATTCAGTACGAAAAGGTCTAAGCTACTTGAAAGCGAGCAGTCCTCAAGGTGGAAGATGCAGCGCGATGCTGCAATAGCAGAGAGAGATAACCTAGAAGAGAAGCTTAATTTGCACTTGAGAAGGGCAAGGGATAGAGAATCAGAGATTGAAGCAATGTGGATGGAGAGAGAGAAAAACTTAGTTACAAAATGTAGTCATCTGGAGGCTGCCATTCTTCAATGGGAATCGAGGTATAAGAAGAGAGACATTGAAGCGATGCAAGAGAGGAGACTCTCGGAAATAGAGCTGGAGGCACATCGCAAGAAGTGGACTGATGAGCTTACTGGTTGGGAAGCGTTCGTCCTGCAGCGGGAGCAATGGGTTGAGGAGCAGGTTACGAAGTGGACTTCTTTACTTGATGCCAAAGACCAAGAATTAGGTTCTCTCAAAAAGGAACTAGAACAAGTGGAGACTTCACTAAAAAATGCCAAACATGAGTTAGAGAATTTGCCTCAACACGTTCATGATCATCAAAAACAGATGCTAGAGAATTCTTCTCAGACCAATATATCATGTGAGAGTTGTAAATCAGGAAGAAGTTTAGAAGAAAGTGAAGGGGATAACTACCAGAGTATTGAGAAGTTTGTTCACGAGATTGATGCGCCGGAGGATGTGGACGATGCCAAACCAGACCTTGGGACAGACATTGTGGAGGATTTTAAACTTGAAAAGGAGGAACTTGAGAAAAAATTGTCTAGTACCTTATCGCTGATGGAAGAGTTGCAGAATGATTTTCAGAAAAAAATGGAGCAGTTTGAAGCAGAGAAAAAGGCTCTGGAGGTTGAATTATCATCCAAGACTTCTGAAGTAGAGGATTTGGTATCTCAGCTCAACTCAAGAGATCGTCAAATGGAGGCTATCATGCAGAAGTTTAGGGATGAAGTAGTGAGCATAGATAGAGAAGTTGAGAAGGAGCGGAAGGAAAGAGAAGAAGTGATGGAAATGCATTTTGTGGGAAAACGCCGCCTTGTTGCAGAGATTCGTGAGAAAGAAGAAAGTTGGCAAAATGATCTGGAGGCAATCACGCAAGAGTTGCTTGAATCGAGGGAGTGGGCCAAGAAGAAAGAAGAGGATATTGTTGTCTTAAAGAATGATTTGGAAGCACTTGATGAGCAGAAGAGGACTGAGGAACAGAGATTGACCAAAAGGATACATTCTTTGTTAGATGAAAAAGATGGCTTGACGGCTGCACTTGAGCGAGAACAGAAGGCTCGGGAATTTTCCGAGACTGAATATCAGAAACTGGAAGAAGAGCATGTCATTCTTCTTGAGGAATTGAACGCTCAGCGGCAGAGGAGTTTGACAGAGCCAAAGTTGGGGGATGCTATCTGCTGGGGTAATGCTGATCTTCAAGCAGCTGTAGATCGGGTGTCCAATGTGGACAAACAAATTGCAGAAGCCATGACTGCGATTGAGAGCCTAAGAGAAGAGCTGGACACCAAGGAAAAGCAACTTGTACAGGCTAAGATTGACAAAGAAGCCGAATGGGAGAAACGTCGAGTTGCTCTGACTCAAGAGCATAAAGACATGTTAGATATGCGGGAACACCAATGGCAGCAGAGATGGATGCGTAGGGAGCAAGAGCTCCTTTCTACGAATGAGGAGATACTTCAACAACTGGTCGATCAACGCGGAGAAAATTCTGTAACGCAAGGAATCCTAAGAGAACTAGAATGGTCAATTAAGCATGGCGACATGGATATCAAAGCTAAAGTAGTTGACATACCTAAGAAGGAAGGAATGGTTAAGGTACACACATCGCACTTGGAAGAGGTAGACCAGTATATTCTGGATCTTCAAACGAAATTGGAGGAATCGGAAAAGAAACGAAAAAGTGCTGAGATTGCTGCATCCGTCCGAGAGTTAAAAAGAGCAGCTAGCCTTGATGTAGCTCTCATCCAAGGAGACAGGGATGAGAGGCTGTTGCCGAACATTGTCAGACATGATGGACATCTCGCGTCCCATCTTTCTTTAGAAAATGGAAATGAGGGCTTGCGAATACGCACTAGATCTTCCACTGGAGAGAGAAGTGGGCGAAGTAGTTTCTCTAGTATCAGGGAGATGCAGCCTAACTCTTCTTGGGAGCTTGAAAATTCTAGCAGGTATGTTCCTCCATGAGTCTGTAAATGTGTTTTACTGTCTTGATGCATTTGATTTAACGAAAAGCAGAGTATAAAACAGAAGTTGAATCTGCTGGGACGGGTTTCGTGTCTCTGAACTAGTAGTTGGATGGGTTGATTACTTTCCGCTTTATGACTCATAGATTTGTGCCTTCCTTTTAACCTCTGCAATTATTTTTATAGTTTCCCCACCCCTACACAAGAATGGTGTCTGCCACCTCTTCTTGTATGTTGGGTTAGTATGTAGACGCATGTACGTATGTGTGTCTCTACTTCTCTAGTTGTTTTTAACAACGATGGTTTTGATGAGGTGCAGTATCGGGCGTCATGGTGGCAACGTTAGCTCTAGTACTTGGCATGGTCAGCCTCGAGATGACTACCCCTTCTCGATTTTGCCCCCGGTATCACCTGGACGACGGCAGCAAAAGTGGATGGTCGATGCTGCTTGGTTGGAGAATGTTCGCAAGGTACTCTTAAAACTAAGAAAACAATTCAAACAACCTGCGGTGGGATCTTGTTCAGCAGAGACTTTCGGAGCTGTTCCTAGTATCGAAGTCCTGCTATCCCTGTTCTCTTGTCATGGCAGTTTGCGTATAGATTTTTCTTTTGTGTAGTGGTCGTCATGATAATTTAACTGAAAAGTTTAGATGTATGTATTAGCTTAAATGATAAGGGAAGGCTGCAAACGGTTGAATAGCGCTATTGAAGCTAATTTATTACTGAGGAGGAATTCACCTTAACACAGTGAATAGCTCTGATTTTGTTAAGAGTAACGACTGAATTTCCAATTTTAAGAGTGAATACTTAACTCACACTGATTGAAGTTGGTGTTTTGTATCAGGAGCAAACTTTCTTAAGGCATCAACTCGAGATAGAACGGCAACGGGCTTGTTCACTTAGTCAGGTAGGCATCACGTATCTACATGTGTAGGAATGCCTTGTGTTCCTTACTTGACAGACTGTGACTTATTTGTAAGGAAATGCGAAGCTTGTCTACTTGTTAGCCTAGTTGAAAGATCGCATCGGAATTATGGGAGCACGGCTGAGTTGCAATTTTATGAAAGCGATAAAAAAAAACTCCATGGTCAGGTTGAAAAATCCTCTGTGTTGGCAGGTTGAGTCGGAGAACAAGTTGATGGAGGCAGCAGTTGTTCGGGCTGTGGAGGAGAAGCATGAGATCGAATCTCAAGTCCTGGGTTTACAACAAGAGGTACACTGTTCTCGATATAATTATCTTTTACTCTCCCCGTCTGCATGCGCATTTGTTAAGAATTCTTCCGAGAAAAGCATCTTTCAAGCATTAGTTTTCTATTCCCAAAACTTCCAAAGGTAAGTCGAAGGATATTTCAATGGTCTGAAATATTACTTCGCAGTCCTTGTTGAGAAAACCTATCCCACTGGGTGTTTGAACAATAACACGCAATCCTGAATACTGGTCTTGTAAAGTTTTTAGAAAAGTCGAAAAGAGGAAATGAATCTGTAATAATGTCACAGGCATGAAGTGTTGCTGAGCTTTGGTGATGTTGTGAATGTATCTTGTATTCATTCTGCTTACGGAACAATATTTTATGAAGTGAAATGGAGCTTGTAATGGCTACATTTATTTCTGACGCTCTTTCTTAGCTTTAAGATTTGCAATATTTACCTTGTGATCTAAGTTTTACTGTTTGCAGTTATCTTTCCCCTTTACTCCGCGATGGCCCACCCAGCTAAGTTGTGGAATACTTACTCAGTAGTTGTGGGGAACAGGTTGTTTTATTGCAGAAGATGCTGGCTGCGAGGTCCGGGACGTCTCGTTGATTATATCCAAAGTTTGAAATGTACCATGTCAGATGATTAGCTGCAACTTTTGTACAACATTTTCACAGATATGGAGGACGAATCACATTCAACCCGTGGGGCTTATGTTTGCTCACAATTGTGATGAAGGTGAACTAGTCACACTGAAAGTTGACTCTTGTAATTTACAAGCATGTCTGATTTTGTATCATACATGCACACTGACACCTAGAAATTGGCGAAGTACCCGCAGCTGCCTCTCTTTTTTCTTAGACTAACTCTGTGAACCTGAAGAGATTATTTTGGTCACCATGATGTGGCCACTGTACTTGCCCATCAAAGCAGTGAACTTACAGATTGATATTTTAACCTCTTGTACCATGTATCTATCACTTATGAAATTTTCTCGCAGAGAGGAAACCTTTAACTCGTTGTGTATTTCAGATGCTTGTTACATGTTTGCCACTGAGTTACATAGAGTATCTGTGGGGGAAGATTAGCGAAATGCCGCGAGTATGTGGAAGTTTGCCCTTAGCACGTTCAGTTAGGCAGAGGAATAGGTTCTGCACTAACGTGGTGTTTGTGTCAACGTTTAACAGTTTGTAAGGGCTTTCGTAGATCTATTTTCAGGTTGTAGCTGGGATCCTCACAAGTCCAAACAAAATTATGAGACTCCCTGCCCCTAGTTCCATACAGACCGAAGTTGAATGATAGAAAAAAGGAAGTGAGAACAGGAACTAGCAGCAGCTGGAAGTAACTATAACGTGCTGAATTTCTGTACTTAATTGTCATGGATTTGAATTTTCGCTCTTACCACCATCTTAGTTGTTCCACTTCTCATCCAACCTTCCCAGTTGCCTGATTAGAACATTAATCCCAATTTAGAAGTTTCAAGTTTAATATCTAAGGAAGGTCCCACAACTGTGTGCTAGATGCGGTTCAGTGAAATTAGACTTATGGCTATGCAGTTCCGCTGATTGACAACTGATTGTTCCAATTTATCTTTTGGATGTGTGACTCATAAAGCATACCGATGAGTTTCATTCTCAAGCTTTGGAGTCCCAAAAGAAAAGGAGCATATTTGATGAGTTTCTACTGTTAGAGATTCAGTATTTCCTAAACCAGTAGATTACAAGTGGAAGTGAAAAAGTTTGGAATGCGAAGGAACATACCAGGTTTCGGCAACTTTCTGAAGCCGCCTCAGCAGGTGGTTGGGAACGAACGCAACCTCTGGCCGCCTTTCAGGGGACAAACTAACGAAGTTATTCCCACGAACCAGCTCACCTGAGAAAGCTGAGAACATTCATGCGGGACGCCGTGGATGTTTCTGTTGTTCCAAGCACCACCCACTTCATGCGACTTTGAAATGGCTGCCACAGCTTCAAGTGGGGCAGGCTAGTTTCAAGCTTCCGGAGACCAAGTCGCCAGGGTCCATGCCTTGCAAGCCGGCAAGGTGGAGGTCCGACAGTGAACTGGCCGGCTGGTCCAGAGGCGAAAAGTGTTTTCCTAACTTGGTTATTCCCCTCGCGCTCCTTTCGAATGGCGTACACGATTCACACCGATCCTACGGTGATAACTCTCCCACCTGCCCATGCAAGTTCCGGGGGGATCCACCCACACCCTCGTCACATCCAACCAACGCCCTCGCACTTGCAGTGCGGTTCCCACGCAAATTCCCGAGTTCGATCCATCGTGAATCACTGCTGCCTCGGACCACATGACGCGTTCGTCAGCTGCGAAAACTCCGCCATTTCGCATTCTCTTCATGATCGCACACTGCTGAGGAAGTGATTGTCGCAGGGGGGGGGGGGGGGTTATGGAGCGTGGTGCCAGCTCCACAACCTGGGTGGCCAATCTGCGTGGGACCCAGTTGTACAAAGGAGGTTAACTAGTCGTGCCTGCTCCGAAGTTCGCGTCTACACCGTGGGATCTGACGACTGTTGTTTCTTCACGAAATGGCATCGGAGAGTCTATCCTCGTCAGCGTCTGCCTCGGTAATCCCCAAACAGATGCTTTTCAACATTTCAGTATAATCCTTGATTATAAACATATTGACGATTTTGCTTTCGCAATATCTTCAATGTCGAAATTCAGCAAAACCTGCACAGTGAGCATTACTGTAGAAAGTATGAATATAAAATGATTAATAATTTTGTAGATTTTTTGGGAAATTGAGTATGCATGCAGCCGTAATATCAAACACAAAATATAGTGGAATAAAAGCAACGAAGAATGTAGTGATAAGATCAAAAAAAGAGAAAAATGAGTATGTTAAACTGTGAGTAAGATGAAATGGTCGGTTAACGCTGAAAACGTGTCTAATACCAATTTGTTAAAAATCGTCCATGCTCGAACATGGAGGTCCAGCCAGACCAGGAGAGATTTGCTAAACATAGTCCACTTATCCAGAATCTCCACCACCAACTTGGCTCCAGCGTTCGCTTAGGTGTTTCTACTCGATACAGCATTACATGAGCGTATTTCATACGGTATTTATGTTCGGCTCCTGCAGCCGAGCGGCGACAAAGCGCCCACGACGACATCGCCTCGGTGGTGCCGCCGTTCCACCCTCCACAAAATCAGATTTTGCTCTCACGTTGGTGCGATCGGAGGTGATAGCAGATCACACCTTCGACAACACCTCTCTCCGAACGAATTAATCCAAACAGGATCCCTCAGACGGGAATTGGGGAAAAAAATTAAATAATTCCACAAATTTCTTTGTCGTTTCAGCATTACCACAAAAACCCATAAATATGACAGCACAATTTTCGTCGTGACTTCACTTTAATGTAGCTCCGCTGTGGTGTCGAGAAAGTTCGAATTCACCCACGTTCCGCAACCAAGCTCAACTAAGCTCTGTTTCTCCACTAGGAAAAGTAATAATATTAATATTAATAATAAGCGGTTCAGGAAGCACTTCGGCGCAAGTGATTGGCTTGAGATTTTAGTTTTAATGTTCTGATCCACGACTAAAAGCCTTATCGGAATGGCCACGAAAGCCCCAATGTTACGCAAATCGGCCCTTGTGTAGTTGGCAGCGCCAAGATGGGCTCGCCAAGGCAAGAGATTTCCAGCGATTGGGAATCACCGCGATTCAGTGGTCCCAAGGGGCCGCACACCGACCCCCGATCCAACTTTTGTGAACAGAAAAAAAAAAACCAAAATAAAAGTGGACCCCGTTCACACCGCACGAGAGAGACAGAGAGCTGCTGACGCAGGCAGGGTAGGGAGCACGTTCCAATGCCTCGCTGTCTGGGACCCACTTTGGCACCATCCACGTCGCCACCAACCACCTACTGTTCCAGGGGTTCGACCACTCGCCACCCTCCACTTGTGCGCCCTCCACTCTAATCTCAATGCTGCTCCCTATTCACACGCGCGATTTTGAGGCTTGCTGGGGCCTGTTGTCCACGTCAAAAGGTGGTCTTTTGGCGACTTCGAATGGGATGTCGTGGAAGTCCACGTCAGGAGTTCCCGGGAACTCGTCACGGGGATTTCCTTGGATAGTCTAGTCCACGTCACGACTTAATTTTTGAAAACTTTGGTTGAAAACAACAGTTGACTCTAGTTGTATACATACATTCTTCTTATTGAAGATGATATTTACAAGTATCAACATGATACAAAACATGATATTTACAAGTATTAACATGATACAAAACATGATATTTACAAGTATTAACATGATACAAAACATGATATTTACAAGTATTAACATGATACAAAACATGATATTTACAAGTATAATCAAGTTACATGAAAACACATAAACATGATATGAATAGGGGAATGTTAAATAGACCCAAGTCTTTACTAAATCGACCCACCCATCCTAACCATCATGGAAGAAGAAAGAAAAAAATTAAATTAAATTAAAGAAATTAAAAAAAATCTAGATTTTTTTCTCCACTATTGGATTTGCAACCAATAAAAACCAAACCAGCTTTATCATGATTACCATATTCTTCATCAAAGGTGGGTCTATTTAGTAAAAGCATGTGTCTATTTAATATTCTTCTATAAATATGATATTTACTAGTATAAAAATGTTGAATACATTTGCCAAACGAAATCCGTGCCCTTATACAACTATCTTTGGCATTGCCATCTATTCATTCCCTTGTTTATCCATGTTTGGTTAATGAGAAGGCTTCTTTATGACTTTTATCTTATACCTAAGTTGTTTTATATAATAGATGATATTTACAAGTAAACATATGTTGCATATATAACATCTCCTTTCTATATCTTGGTGAAAAATGATGAGTGTCATTCTAATAATACAAAGATGAATGATCTTTACACCCCATGTTGTTTTGAGATTTGTGTTTAAAAGTCTTTGAAGTTGCTCAAATTTTATTTTATGTTATTTTTTGTATTTTTTATATATAAATATGAAAATTTAATGAATAAATGATTTTGTGCATGACAATCTAGTTGAATAAATATCCACAACTTAAAATCATTGCAATGAAGAAGAGAAAACAAAGATATTATTCCATGAACATGGCATGCTTTGCCAAGGCACTGTAAACAAAAATATCATTTTTGTATCCTCATTTTCAATTATTTGTTGACGTAAGTTTTTATACTTTTTACCAAAATCGTAAATTCTCAAGTGCGTTCAAAAAAAAAAACAGAAACAAAATTTTTAAAAATAGATTTGTTTTCACCAGTTCAAATTTCAACCAAATAAAGATTAAAAAAGACAAATTAATTTCACTTTTACAATTACTAAACATTGTAACCAAAGAAAATTTTAATGAAAAAAAAAACTAAAATTTATTAAATTTAGTGTCTTACATTGATCACACTATTAAATGTAAAATATACTATTAATTTTAATTTAACAGTTGTTAAAAAAAAACTATTGGGTTATTATTTTCAGAAAACCTGGGTAGTAAAATTAATCATCACTTTTTATAATATATATATATATATATATATATATGTAATTTTAATCACATATTTTTATTAGTTCAAAAAGCAATATTATTGTTTTGAGATTTGAACACTTTTTTGGTACAGTAAAACCATGTGTGAATATTTATTCTATTATTAGATTGCATGTGCATATATATATATATATATATATATGTGTGTGTGTGTGTGTGTGTGTGTGTGTATACATGGTATATTTATTTTAGCATGCTTTCTAAATTCTAAAACGTTTATAAGACTTTAAATTTTGCAAATTTTTGCACAGTAAAAACATTTATGTCTGAAAAATAATGTACATTTAACTTTTCACATTAATATAAATTTAGAATCAGTAATCAAATAAAAACATAAATTTGTAATTATAATAGTAATGCATTATTTGCAATGGATTGTTGTTATAATTTTCAATTACTTCAAACATAAACAACCTTTTAAGATTTTTTGATGTCAAGTTATGCTTGTGATAGATTCCTCAAGTATTTCAACTTTGCGTTTACTTCTTTATGAATACCATACCATTGATTATCACAATGAGTACATACTTAATGTAAAATACTATTTGATATGTCAACAAAATACAATACTGAACATGTGTACATGTATAAATATTAAAGTACTATTTTTTTCACAACTGAATAAGCTTCTGTGTGTATATACATTCCATTTTTACCACAAACATATGTTAATCATTCAACAAAATAAGATAAGATCAATGTTCAAAAATTTACTCCATATTAAGCTATTTAAACAACAACATCATTTTGAAAATATGTCGAAGGACAAACCCATTGTTTTCTAATTTCAGGAAGTGTCCTACCCGTGAAGCTGCCCGGCCTAGATTCGGGCAGAAATCCTCAAGTCCGGGCAGATCCGGGCAATGAAGCTTCCGATGGCTTACGAGCGGAACGGGAACGGGTGAGAAATTCAAACCCGGCCCGCTCGATCTCAATGAAAATTCAATACGGTCATTTGATGCAGATACGTATACTATACCCGCAGGGGAATATGTATCCGTAAGTGCCGCATCTACAAACGTGTATTTGGCTGTCTTGGTCTTGCGCGGTGCATGTAGCTCGCCGAATTACGAGCTTTTTGGGGTGGGTCGCTAATCTGTCATCTTTCTATGTAGTGCTCAGAATTGGTCGAATTCCGGAAGTCAGCTTCGTGTCTGATCAGGACTTGGCTCGTAATTTCGCGTCGCAGACGAAGTTTGGGTGAGAACGGGTTGTGGGTTTTGTGTTTGTTTGTTTGTTTGTTTGTTTGTTTTTGTTTTGTTTTGTTTTGTTTTTTTTTCTGGGGTGTGGATTGGCTTTAGACTAGGGTTTCGTTACAGAGTCGAGGGAATTTTTCGTGGATCGGTGTTGGTGGGTTTCTCGTAGTGGTGGGTTTTTTCGTGTGTATTGTTTCAGGGTGTGTCTTGGTTGATAGTTATGATGTCGCTGAGGTCGTAGTACCTTGATGAATTGGGGAAGACGCAAGTAGTGGTGGAGGAAGAGTAGGATCACGAGAGTATGGCTCAAAGCTCACAGCGTGGAGCGGGGTTGCAACGGAGAGAGGGAGTAATGGCGGACATTTCGCCCCCACCTGCAAGCCTGTTGTCTAAGGCGCTTGTCAATTCGTTGGTGTCGTTGACGCAGCAGGTTGCTAGTTGCGACAGGCCCCAGGTTTGCCAGAAGCGGAATGCAGCAAATCTTGCACGCAGAATCAGGCTCTTGTCCCCATTGTTTGAGGAGATACGTGATACAAATCCGCCGATGCCTCCGTCTGCGCTAATCGCATTCCGGGACATCTACCATGTGATGACGAAGACGAAGGAGTTGTTGGATGATTGCCGGGAATCTAGTGTCTTCTTGTTGGTGTTTAGGAACAAATCTACTTCGGATAAGTTCCATGAAATTACGGGGGATTTGGCCTCTGCTCTAGAAATGCTACCGTTGGGTCTTCTTGAGATCTCTGACGAAGTCCGAGAACAGGTGGAGCTGGTTAAGATGCAGGTTCTTCGAGCAAAGCTTATCGTGGATGCAGCGGAGGGTGCTCTTGCGGAGGAGGTGATCGAGCTTTTAGCCCAATTCGAGAGAAAAGAGGAGCCTGACGCTACCCAACTTCAAAACCTGTTTGCGAGGTTGGAGTTAAAAAATGCGAGAGACTGCGAGAAGGAGGTTCAGCGGCTGGAGTCAGAATTGGATTCCGTTGATTACACTGACCAAACACTCGCTTCTGTGACTAATCTTATAGTATTTGTACGTTACGGGAAGTGTGTCCTGTATGGAGTGACGGAGATGGAAGATGGATCTATCGGACCACGACACTCATCTGGCGAGGGTGATGGTGAGGTTTCTTCGAGTGGAAGAAGTGATGCAGTCGTTAATCCTCCTGATGAGTTTCGCTGCCCCATCTCCCTCGACCTCATGCGCGATCCAGTAATTGTTGCCACTGGACAAACGTATGACCGCGTCTCAATTTCAAAGTGGATCGAGGCAGGTCACCCTACATGCCCAAAGAGTGGGCAAAAGCTTGGGCATGTGAATTTGATCCCTAACTATGCACTTCGGAGCCTAATCTCGCAATGGTGTGAAGATTACCATATTCCATTTGACAAGCCTGAGAATGGTTCTAAAGGCTTCGCAGGAAACAACCAGGGAGCGACCTCTAAGGCCGCCCTTGAAGCAACCAAAATGACGGCGTCTTTTTTGGTTGGGAAGCTGGCCACAGGTTCTCCCGAGGTACAAAAACAGGTTGCATACGAGTTGCGATTGCTTGCTAAATGTGGCACGGACAACAGAATGTGTATAGCGGAGGCAGGGGCAATCCCTTACCTTGTGACACTCCTTTCTTCAAAGGATCCGAAGGCACAAGAAAACGCTGTCACCGCGCTTCTTAACCTCTCAATTTATGACAACAACAAATCGTTGATAATCGTTGCCGGTGCTCTAGACCCCATCATAGAAGTTCTTAGATTCGGAGGAAGCATGGAATCGAGAGAAAATGCTGCGGCAACACTTTTCTCCTTGTCTGTGGTGGATGAGTACAAAATCGTTATTGGCAAGAGACCAGCTGCCATTCCTGCCCTGGTGGCGCTTCTTAGGGATGGTACGCCGAGGCGAGGGAAGAAAGATGCAGCCTCTGCCCTCTTTAACCTTGCTGTGTATCATGGCAACAAGTCCTCTATTGTAGAATCCGGCGCTGTCACTATCCTGGTTTCTCTCCTTGGTGAAGAAGAGAATGGCATCGCTGATGATGCATTGATGGTCTTAGCTCTCGTAGCAGGATCAACCGAGGGTCTTACAGCCATCGCAGAAGCGTCTGCGATTCCGATCTTAGTTAGGATGCTTAGGGTGGGCACTCCCAAGGGCAGAGAGAATGCAATTGCTGTTTTACTGGCGCTCTGCAGGAATGGGGGAGAACGAATCATTTCCGCCGTCATGCAGGTCAACACTGCGGTTCCTTCATTATATTCGCTGCTCACAATGGGCACTCCACGGGCGAAGCGCAAAGCAAGCTCCCTACTGAAGCTTCTTCATAAAAGGGAGCCGGTTGACCGTCATCATCCCCCGCAGAGTACCCACTTCTTATCTTCTAGTCATTTCAGGCAGGCAGCAACCAGGCAATAATCTGATTTGTTTGGCAAAATTAATTATCAGGAGATACAAAATTTGAGAGCGAAGAGTAATATCTTGGCCTTATCTTACAGCAGTATGTGTGCTGCCCTGTACGATATTAGCTCCTTGTACTTGCTACTTTTGGGGCTGTTGATGGAGCACATTCGCAAGGACGTTCGCTGACCAAACCCTCGTAAACTTTCAATTTTAATTTTTTTTTGTAGTCTGATGTCATGCATGTTTCGTTTGCTGTGGGGACTTACACTGTTATTTCAGGTCCCATTCTGAAACTCCGCATTGCAGTTCCAACCAAAATCAACATTCTCGGATATAGATATCCTTGTAGTTCTGATGCCTTGACAAAAAAAAAAAAAAAATCTATGAGTGAATACTTCTCCAACTTCTAAATTATTCATCCTAATTTACTGCATGTAGTAATCAATAACGCGTCCTTATTCTTTAGCACAAAATGAGCAATGCAGTCTCCAAATCAATCCGAAGAGTTCATTCGATCCATGACGTGGGTACTGTATCGACATCCAGTAGAAACAGTCTGATGAGACTTGGATCAGGATCGGGACAGTTCTATGAATCCCTCTGTCGCGTCGACAAGGCTAATACCACCATCGAGGGATTATTATCATTAGCAGCACCTCCAGCGCCTTCGTCTCATCACGGAAGGATCACAAAAGCATCGCCGCCGCTATGCAGATGCACCAGCAATGAATAAAACTGTTCAAGGCAGAAAAAACGGGATTCTCGTCTAGTGCGCCGTCGTAGCGGTGCAAAATTCTACAAACCTACAATAATGCTCCAGATGTAGTCGTCCACCTAGTCGACAAAGTAGGCGTAGAAACTCAAATCCTCGGGTCCCAACGTCCACTTGAGATTCAACGATGGTGAGAGGTCGTAAATTGAACCCTAATTTAGATCCTCCTCTTATACGAGATCGTGTAAGGATTTAACCCTAAAAATATTCTGGACTCACATTCAAGCGAATTGCAAATCTAAAAGTAGAATGTAGAATATTAATGTGTAGGATGAAGAGATGATAGACGTGTATGCAACATGTGGAATTGATTGTTTCAGTTGATAAATACATTGTAGGATTATATACATCTCCTATACAAAACAACTTGAGCATAAACCAATAGGATAAATTAGAGGAGACAAAAATCAATTCTAATTAGTTGCATATCTCATTATATATATATATATATATATATATAGATATATTTTTTAATATCAAAAGTGAAGCAAAAGTGAAGCAATAACTCAACTTTTGTCAATCAAAGATCAAAATCTACAAAATCTACATGTTGTTGGTGTAGATTGTCAAGAGTTGTACAAGATCACAATCATGGAGCTTGAAAGCACTACAACATGGAATAACATGGAATACTATAGAACAACATGCAACATGGAGTTTCATGTCATATGAAACTTCAAACAAAAAATCAATCAACTATATGTAGTTTACAATGTTTTTTTTTGTAGCCAATGGCATAGATTTCCACCAACATATATATATATTTAAGTATCAAAATTTAAGTTATTTATTATAAAAAAGTTCGTTAATTTATAATTTTATTTTACATATTGAAATATAGATTTTTATGCAAGATAATTTAATCTTTGAATCAATTTTGGAATTTTAGCATCTATTGATATTTTATTAATTGATGTTTTAATATAAATTCATATTTCAACATAACTCTATTGAAAATTATGAATATGATGACCTATTTCTTTGACAATTCTTAACTTGTAATTTAGTGTTTTGCAAGACAAATCAATAACCATCTTTATGAATGCAATAAAAGTATTAAAGTGTTTTTGCTAGCCAATATGAGATTTAATTGCAATAGTAGAAACAAAAAAATACACGACTTATTAGATATAAAAGAAATTGAACAAAAAGAAGTGAGGGATACAAAATACAATAAATCTTGATAAAAATTAAGCAAAATAAGGTTTTCAATTTCTTATCTTACTTACTTAGCAATTCAACCTATTATTTTATTTACTTATAATAATTGATGATCCAAATCAAGAATTTCAATATTAGCAATAAAAAACAACAATCTTCTCTAGATCCATGTCTACTTCATCAGACATTGAACAAACAATATACTCTTGCTTAAGAAAGTCCAAACCTTCTAAATTCTTATAATATTTTAAAAATTTGCGATACAGCAATGAGTTGATTGGCACAAATTTCAAAGAAGATAGCTACACTTCATTATAATTATGTTGATAAGAAGAAGTAGTGGCTAAAATAAGGTTTAAAAGTAACACAATATATGTATCATTAGAATATTATAATATTGCATTGATACAAAGTGACTTTAAGAGAAAAGTTTATTTTGGCACTAAAAGATAAAAGTAATAATAATCTACATCCACTCAACTTTCAATAAAATAATATTGATTACAAAAAAAATTTATTAATTAGACAAAAAAGTTGTTGTATTGATGTATTATTTCTAAGATTTTTTAATGGTATTTTTGGCAACAATAAACTTTATATTAACTACATCCATTTGTACTATTTTATTTTTGCTTCTATGTCTTTGAAAGATATATATAATTAAAGTCTAAAAAATATATATGAAGGTGTTTACATTTTTTAGGTGGAAGGTGTCAATTATCATATAAAAAATTTACTTTTGGATTGAAATAAACCTCTTATATCTAATTAATTTTATTTTCATAAGACCACTTTAAAAACTCATTAAATTAATAAAAGTAAATTATTCTTCATTTAGATAATCTTCTCTTAGATGATGTTTAAAAAAAATTATTTTTTGAATTCTTTTTTATAGCAATTTATAGATATAAATGCCCAAGTCTACAATGACAATTGCATTAAAATCTATATTAGAGAGAATCACATAAAAACATCTAAAGATAGAATGTCTTAATTACAAGTGAAATTATTTCTTTTTTTTTTAATATAAAAATGAATCAAATATATATATATATATATATATATATATATACACACACTTTATTCTTTTTTCAATTTATTTATTTTTTTAATAATTAATAAAGTACATGATGTATATGGTCTTTTAATATATTACATTATATTTTTATATAAAAGATGTTTTTTATTTCTTATTTCTTTATGTATAAAGAATAACAATAAAATAAAATAAAATTAGAAGCAATATTGGAAGACCAAATAACACAAGTTCACCTTAATTTCAACATCTAATTGGTCTAAGTAATAATTTATAATGTTAATTTTTTTTTTCGATAGATCAAACAATTCTTAGACAAAAAACTATGCATATTTATGTTATGAAATCCTCTCCACATAATTTTTTCATCCTCACATCTGGATGAAAAATTAAAAGATTTATCTTCTCATGATATTTTTATTTTAGTAGAGATTTCAAAATTTTCAACTCAATTCTAACTTTATGCTATTATGAAAAATTAAATGGTTTACTAACCTTCTAAATATTTTAAACTAAATTTTCCATGTATAAAAGATTATATATATATATATATTAAATTTAGTATTCAAAATGATTTAAAAATTAGACTTCCAAAGGTAGGAAAATAATCACCTATATTACTACCAAAGAATGGTGAAAGATTTGTAGAAGTAGGAGAAAAAAAATTATTTTTCTATTGTTTTTTTCTTTGTCAAATATTTGAGTGCCAAATCCATGTTAGGATATGTTTTACAATGATTTTTGTGAAATTACTGTATAATATGAATACTTAAGACATAATCATGTAATTATTATTATTTGAAAATTTTGTTATAGAAAAAAAAAATATAGAAGTTTTCAACAAAGTTGAGTAATATTTGAAGGCTTGATGTAATCAAATATTAAGTATAAAAATATAAATTATAATCCATAATATTAACGGTTAAAAGTTGACCTTCCTAATTAATAAAATTTATTTTTCTTATTATTTCCACAAGAATAGATTTCTACATTCAGGTGTCATCTTGTAATCACCAAAATATTTTAGCTATTTTATTCTACGCATTTCCACCATATTGCCTAAAGCTTAGGTTGAAGCTCTTAAAATTATATTGTAGAAATTTCCATGCAATTTAAACAAGAAAAGGTGTCTTATTACAAAATCTATAATGCCATATGTGATTATTTCTAAAGTTATATTCAAAACCTAAAATAAATAGATTATCTTAATTTTTAAAATAAATTAAAAGCCTTCAAATATAGAACTTCTATTCAAACTACCACAAAGTCTATTTTAATGATTTAAAAAAAATATTATTTTAAATATTAATTCTATAAACATTAAATTTTTTTAAGAATAATTGAAATTTCAAGAAAAATTAAAATTTGTTAATTTCTATTATATGATTAATAAAATTTCACTTCAAAAAATGAATTAAATCATCTAAACAAATTTTTAATAAAGTAAAATAAATTTTAAAAATGAATGTTTATCATAAATAAAATAAAATAAAATAAAATAAAATTTAATCAAATAAAAAAATCACATAATCAAATTCTAATTCAAAAAATAAAATAAATTATCTAATATTTAAGTTTTTTGCATTATAATAAGTGATCAAGAATATTATGATAATTCTTAGAAACATAAAAAATTTAAAAATATTTATTCAAAAATTTAAAAGTAATCTTATAATAATTTTTAAATTTTAATTAAATTTATTTATTTTAAAAATAAAAACTTATATTAAATTTGAAGGCCCAAGATTTTATTATCATGAGTTTAGAATGAATTTGTTTTATTAACATAGATGCTTTTTATTTTGCTTTTATAATAAAATGTTAAAATAAGTCTTTGATATGTAATTAATGTGTAAATTATAAATTTTTACACCATGATAATTCATAATAAACAATATTTATACTATGTCTATAATATCCATCATAAAATAATGAGGTGAATTTTTTTATGTTGGATTAGATTCTATCAACGAAAAAAAAAATATAAACTTCAAAAATTTTAAAAACATAAAAATATAAAATTTATAATATTAAAAATAATTAAATAAATAATGGAAAATATGGCTTAGAGATGTGAATTCATCAATAATTTCTAATGATCATCATTCATTTTATTTGTTTATTAAACTGATAAGTTGCACAAAAAATGTATATGCAATAAAAAGGGGTGTCTACATAGCCGTTCCCTACATTAAAATTGATTGTATTTTATGACTTAAATTAAAAAATACTGTAGAATTAGATAGAATGCATAGTTTCAAATTCCATGAGCTTATTATGTCTCTCAATCAATTAAAACAAAAACAAGGTTTTTTGTTCACTCTATTTGTCTAATTCTACCCTATTTTCTTCCTCTCTTAAATCTCACAATTTTTAACCTCTTTCATTGTGTCACATTTTTATTACAAGTAAAGATATTCATCTTTAAATCTGTATAAAAAAACGATTTTTATAATAAAACTGTAGTCACAAAAAACTACATGCAATCAAGATACACAAGTATGTCATAGTAGACTTAAATCCAAAATTATTTTTTTTCCTTTATTTATTACCACATTTTAAGTTAATAATATATATGCTTTATAGATGCAAATTCTATTCCAATTCTTTTAATTGTCTTTGAACTTCAAAAAACATTTAAAGAACAAGTCTACATTTAAACATGTTGGAACAGACATTCTTCATTCCATCTTATTTCTTATTGTAGATCCTTTTTGTATTATCTTATAAAATAATATTAAATGATAATACACGATTTTTAAATTTTTTCAATAAAATAACCAAAAATTAAATACAAAAAAAAAAATAGTACTTATATTTATTGAACTTAAAATGCTAGAAAGCTCAAGCAAAACTTTGATTAGGGTTTGCGCATCCAAGACCGTGCCATCCCCTCCCTCCTACCTACCACGCGAAGCTTTTTGGCGGCGTCTCCGAAGCTTTAGCTTTCGAAAATGCCTTTTTTCGTTTTTCGTTTCGTTTTGTTTTTTGCCTGTTTTTATGCCTCCATTTTGTGTTGTTTGCATTTGTGGGCTCCTTCACTCTTCGCCGACGCCGCAAGTGATGTTTGACACGTCATTGCGTGAGACGAACCGAGATGAGGTTGTCTCTTAGCGCCTCAAAATCGTCGCATTAGTCGGGGATTTGCAAAAATGAGTAAGATGTAGTGTAGGCTAAGAAAGGAAAGTTTGCAGAAGTCGGCAAGAGGACGAAGACGAGGAGGAACAGGGTAGAGAGAGTGGAGACCTGCGGCGTGGAAGGGAAATCGGTTGAAGGTGCCAGGAATTTCACAACAACCCACTGAGGAACCAGATTGCAGTGCTTGCTTACCGGTCTCCGGTCGTCGAGGAATCGTGAGAGACATTGAAAAGGAATTGTGAGAGAAAGGAAAAGGCATATATCTGCGAGGGATGGAAGAGAACGTGGTCTTCCGATTCAACTTCGGGGGAGCCGTAACCACACCGCAGCCCGAGGTATGTGTTGCTGCGTCATCATGTTTTGTTACCTCTTTAATATATATATATATATATATATATATATATAAATATAAATATATTAGCATGTCTGGTCCATTGCTGTCGCGTCGATCAGCGATTTCTGTTGTTTTCTTTCTGTTTTTGCTTGTGGGTTGGTTAGCGTTGGAAGGCAGAAGTTTGTATGATATCTCTACACTCTCTGGGAGCAATGTATTTAGCACTTTTTTTCCTTTGAAGTGTGAGCTTCGTGTTAGAGGGAAATTGAAGCAATAGATGTAGTGTTTCTTATTTAATTTAATTTAATTTTATGTTTTGGTGAGCTCAATGGGCGGTTGTGAGTAGCTGGAGAGGTTTATCTTTCCGCAGAAGAATTGGATCATGAGAGGAGGGAGAGAGTTGATTTTGTGAAGTGTAGAGGGATGAACTGGGGGGGGGGGGGAGATAAAATGAGGGGCCCATGTATCTGCGCCTGCTTGCCAGGGTTGACGACATACTGTTTGCTCCAGACTCTCTTGAAGAACATCAATGCGGGTATTGGTACTGTTGCGGAGCAACCATCGCTACCCTCACCTACTCCACCGGAGGAGGTGTTCCCATCGGAGGTATGTAATTGTATGTCTCAATGGCCTTTGTTGTAATGAGTATCTTCACTTCGGGCGATACGGTTAGCAAGAGAACATCTTTCGGCTTCATAGAGCTGTGTAGTGTAGTAGTATGCATTGCTCGACTAAAATTTTTTTGGAGGTATAAAAATGTGAGAAAGGCGTTCTCTAGCTTGGTAGGCAATAGTGGGGCATGTAAGACTGCTGAACTAGTTTTTAGTGAAATGTATATAAAACGTGTGTGTTGAAGAGTAAGTGAATTCGGGTTACAGTACTGTTTGTGTGAATATATGAGAAGGCGAACTCTGCGAATGAGAATTGCACCCTTCATGATTGAGTGCAGGATGAGGAATCAGCGTCTTGCGTGATGGAGCCTGTTGTTTTACAGGGTGGTTTGACACTGCTCAAGGTATGAATATCTTAGCGACTTTGTTGATTTTGATTTTTTTATCCGACTCGTCGGTCATACACAGAGCGTCAAATTCTGTCCAACAGTTATCTTGAGAAATTGCAAATATGTGCACGTATCTCATGTTACGACACGTGGTGATGTCTTTGGTTGCAGGGTCGTGTGAACAGCCAGAGTGTTCTTAAGGTAGCTAACTCGGATTTGATTCCTGGTAAATATGAAGGTATTGACGAGTTGCCTCTGTAAATGTTACCGTTGTTAAATATGAAGTGTTTCAAATTCATTCTGGGGGTGCTGCCGGATGGTGGTATTGTAGATTATCAAGGGATTATCAAGAGCATTTATTGTGCTAGTCTTTACGAGCACGGGTTAATGAGTAATACATTGTTTGATATAGGAGGACTGAAACTTTGGGAATGCACCATCGATCTTGTTGAAATGCTACGGCGAGAAATTCAAGATGGACAGCTTTCGTTTCGTGGAAAGCGGGTGCTAGAGGTAATCTTCAGATATTTGAATGGAACGTCAGAGGTTTTAGTGCAATGCTTGCTACAAAGTGATGAGTGTAAAGAGTCCCAGGCTGGAGTTCAAAGAAGGAATTTTGTTGTGTTGTTTGTTTGTGCTTCAAATTTGTCAGAGCCTCCATTATTGGGCGCACGTTTGTTCCTGCTGAATCGTTGTGCATACATATTCCTACTGCATTTCGCATGTCAGTATTGATGCTACTATGGCTTGTTCTTTGTACAGCTTGGATGTGGACACGGCCTGCCCGGAATCTTTGCATGCTTAAAGGTAAGATAGAATATGTTACCAGTTAGGAAAACGAAGTTTTTCTTGCATTTGAGACTATTTATCACGTCCTTTCTAGCTTCCGACCTTTATTGGAAGTGAAAGCTTAGTGCGAATAATATGTGATTGACCTTGTGGTGGAATAAGACCTATTTTCTACGTCTATATCTTATGAATACCTTGCGATGGGATGAGAGGCTAAAGTATTGCTAGTCACCAACCTTTCATTTTTGATTCTACATCGGATAGGATTCTTTATGTAGTTGTTTACGACTGGAAGTTTCTGGTATGAAACCATTAGGCAATCGCCAGAGTTTAGTGCTGATTCCACACGTGTTACATGCAACAGGGTGCATCCAGTGTCCATTTCCAGGATTTCAACCCGGAAGTATTGAAGACTCTGACGATCAAAAACGTGCAAGCCAATCTAGAGCAAGCACGAGCGGGTCTTGTAAGGGTAAACTCTGTTAGTCCTGACGGAATTGCATCAAATAAGGGTTTAGTTGTAATGCCTGATATTCACTACTATGCTGGTGACTGGTCAGAGTTGCACGAACTTTTGTCCGTAGGGCGGTCTTGTTCCTCTGGTGACAGAGATAGTGGATCCCCCGATGTCAGAATGAATGCGAGTGACTTCTCTGAACCTAAACCTGAGAGTGATAGTAATGAGTTAAAGAGCATTAGTCACAATGGCTCCCGTAATCGCCCTGCCCGGAAGCTTTCTGGAAGCCGTGCTTGTGAAAGAGGACACACCAGTAGTGCTCAAGAATGTGGTTATGACATCATTCTGATGTCTGAGACTGTCTACTCTCTAGCATCGCTTCCCAAGCTTTATGAACTCATCAAAAAGGTGAGTTCTCGGCACTCATGAGTAATATATTGTCCCAGAGTCATGCCTGCTGCATTCAAAGCATAAGCTGTTAGCATTTATACTTTTTGCAAACTTGTCATTCCTTGTTGAACTGAAAATGATCTTCGTGTGCAGTGTATCTGTCCTCCGTATGGAGTCGTCTATGTGGCGGGTAAGAAACACTATTTTGGAGTTGGAGGTGGAACTCGACAATTTAAACATCTTGTTGAGGAAGACGGTGCGTATTTGAGGTTATAGTTTGTCGTTGTTTTATTTATTTATTTATTTTGTGTTTCCCGTCTGTAAATGGAGGAGCTATTCTTCATATTTATTCATCTCCTTATTCATTTATGCCAAACTCATCATCACTTAAACGTGGTAGCTTTTGCATTTACTATGTCAAATAAGTTGTTAGGTTACCTTTTGAAGTAGTCAGCACCTATTGTGATGGGTATGTGTAGTCGCATTTCTAACTGAAGTTTTGGTTTCCTTGTTATTATAATTGTAGGTATCATGGGAGCACATTTAGTAGCTGATTTTGCGGATGGATCTTCTAATGTTCGTGAAATCTGGAAGTTTTTTATGAAGTGATTGTACAGTCCCCTAAATGCTATGGTACACTTCAAGCATGTTACCGGCGATTGAAAGGCGGATCATTGTTAAAAATGTTAATTAATATTGTCGGGCGTCTCAGTGTGAGCTGTGAAGTTCATTGCCGTGAGTGGCGATAATTTTTGAAGCGATAGTTTCGGTGAATGTACAGTTTCTAAGGAGGTTGTGTTCCAGAAGGAAAATACTGCTGGGAAGGTACAATAGCCGCATTTTAGTTTGCCAGTCATGTTGAAGCCATCCTTATCCCAGAAATTGTAACTTTTCCTGTGTTTGGTAATCCATCGAGGTCTATCAGCCCGAGTTTGGGTGTCAACACTGAAAGCTGGTGTAAGGTCTAAACACTAAACGTCAACGTCGGAGTTCATTCCTTTGACGGCGTACCCATGTCAAATCATAGTAGGTATGAATTAAGGTCAAAATCCTTGCAATAGGTTTCATTAAAAAAAACTGTAAAATCTGACAAAAAGTCAACGAAGGACTTCAGAAAATTGTTTAGAAAGTGGTGCATGGAAATGGAGATTGTGCCCTCCAGTGCCCGCGTGAAAGAAGGTTCAAATATTGCGCTGAGCCATATATTCCTCCCTAGCTTTCTCTGATTATGGCACCTTTATCTTTTAAGAGTTGCTCTCGTGATCGCTGATTTTCAGTGAACCATTTTTATTTTCCCCCTGTGAACTTTTGCTCGTGTCGCACTGATTCCTCCAACCCTCATATTATGCCGCTATCCTCCACCTATCACCATGCTGCGCTCTTTTCCCATTGACTGGCTTTCCGTTAGTTCCTACTGGCTTGATACATCCAATCCCTCTCTATGCCAACTCTATTTGCTCAGGTCTTGTCATGTCCTTGTCTGGCATCAATTAACAATTCTCCACCTTCAAGTGGTTGAGGGACATGGCATCTTCAATTCGGATCTGAATTAGTGAGTTAATTTAAAAGGGATTTACGCTCATGTCATGCAAATTTACAGTTTTAAGGCTAATATCTATATTTTTGTTTACAACAGCAACATTTCATGATCCATGTGCAATTTCAATATGTAGAAGTTCTAGGATGCATCAAAGAGAGAATTCAACCTAATTGTAACGTTCTCCAAATTATGGGTCATGGGCTGATTGTGTCTCGAACTTTCCTCCATTTGGTGGAGGCTGTGGTTACAGATAGATAAGGATATATCAAATTTTGATACTAAAATAACAAATGTAACAAGAGTCATAACTTAGAATAAAAAACTAATGTTTTGTGGAGGTGTGTATATAGGGGTGTCCATGCAATAAAAAGAGGGTGAAAAACCTAGTGGTTCCCTAGTTTTTTCTTATTGCATTGTCAAAACTACATCAATAGAGTTATTTTTAAATGATTTTAAAAATGAACAATATTCAATACATATTTTAATATATGCATACATTATTATTTATATTTACCAGAAGTTCAATAATCATTTTCTAAATTTATTTTCTAGATTTTGATATTAACAACGTTTTGGTAATCTTCATGCAGATAAATCCAATCCCTAGTCATTTCTATGTCTAGGTAATTTCTTTTACAAGGAACTACATTTTATGAAACTGTCAATGGAGAAATTCTGTTGTGTTTATGGATTCTAAAAATTATTTCTTTAATCCTCATTCTACTGAACGTCAAGCCAAGAAAATGAGTTGTCTTCCACTTGTACATCTGACTTTTCTACATACAATAATTACTTCGTATTACGATAGCTAAAATCGCAATCCACTATAAAGCAGTAAATAAGTCTCGTCACGCAACAGATTTTATTCCCAGCACAAATCCTAAAATACAAAAACCCAGTCACTGAGCGACCAAACTCCATGATCTGCAAATCCATGCACGCAACTGACAGTATTCTACTAGGAAACCGAATGGAAATCAATCCAATCCTAGAATTGGCACGACTCAACTTCACCTCCAGACCGTGCAAGCATCACTATTCAGAAACTTAACTGCAGTATTGACGTTGCCAGCATCACTCACTACGCCACCCACAGGCTAAAAGTCACAAAATGTAATGAAACACATGGAAATCTATAAAACCCAATGCTAACTCTTCACAAAACCCGTGCAAAAATTGAAGAGTCGGGACCAACACCCAAAATCGCCGAGGTACTAGCAAAACATCCCGGTAAACCATAGAATACCATGAGCACTCGACATGAGGCGAGTACAGATACTTTACTACATCAAATCTGCACCCTAGAGAGACGACTTGCCACACATTCAGTTGACAAAAGAACATTACTGGTCACCTCGTCAGTGGACCTACGTATATCCAAGTCAACACACTACGGAGACTTCCTAGAGTAGAAAACTCTATTCCTTGATCTTCACGATAAACTCAAAAGAAAACTAGATCTTACAAGATGTTGAAATACTATGTTTTGATTACAACTGACATTAACAAAACAACCAGAGACAAAATCTGTGTGATTAGATCAGCAGAAAAAGAATATGCTGGTGTATAAACATTTGAAACACATTCTCTGTACGCATGCGCGAAAAGAGCGGACATGCATCAACTAGAGCGAAAACGTCTCATGTTCAAGGTACATACTCGAAGGGTTCAGGAGGAGGAGGTTCATTGTCGTCTACAGCCATGGGTGCAGCAGCAGCAGTAGCAGCTGCTGCTGCTGAAGCACCACCAGCGGACACTGGCGTGTCTGTTGATACCAACTCCACCGGTTCTGAGGGTGTCATATCTCTCAACATCACAAAACCCGAAGGAGCTCGCTTCAACTTTAGAGGTGCATATCTTGAGTCTTCTTTGAATTTGATATATTTTTCTTGTGCAGGCACAACACGTGCAGGGTTACTAAGCACTTCCGACGAGGGTTCTACAACTGCCTTTTTCTCCACTCCTCCTTCTATGTCCATTGCATTCTTATCTTTCATTGTAGAAGTGGACTCTTTGTCACCATCCCCTGACCCTTCAGCATTCGTAGAAGATGCAGTGGCACCACCTTCCTGGACAGGAGCTTTACCTGACTTATTCTCTGATTCTTTCTTTGCACCCCTGACTTTAGCCCGATTGGAAGTAGACAAGACAGCAGTCGGCAGCTTCACAGCAGAAGTAGCGGCAGGAGGAACCACTGAAGGAGGGTATCCAAACAAGGATGGCTTGGTATCTGAGATGAAGTCAAACTTGGGCATTCTAAGTTCTTCATTCAGACCGATGAAAGCAGTAGGGGCAAACGATAAACTGATGAAATAAATCAGCGGATACCAATACCAAAACTGGCTGAAGACAGCCATTCCCACAACAGCTGTAACACGATCATGTCCAGTTCGAGATTGCAGCATAATGGCAACGTTCCGACCTCCTGCATCTAAAATTCCTTGAGCAAGAATGGCTCCCATCTTACTCATTGTCTCCTCATGCTTATCATTTATAATTTTCTCAAGTAGTCTTCTGAAACTAGCCACACGAGGCTCCCGAGCCTCTGTTGTCTGTAGAAGAACCATTGCCATAGCTATAAGAGCTCCTTGACGAACGAAATCTACTGCATCAGATGTAAGAGGCTCCAGCAAGGAAATTGCTTCACTAGATCCTGAACCAGCGCACGAGATACCTACAGCCATTGCTGCCCCATATCTCACATGTGCGTTGTAAGACTCCGAGAGCAAGGACACGATTCGAGGGGTCTGCTCCGGCTCAGAACAGAGTACAAACCCTAATGCCAACACCGCAGTCCTCCTCACGTCGTCACTAACATCCGAGACTGCAAAGTGCAGCAGCCGTCGGATGGCACTGTTATTTGCAGTACCGCGATACGCCATGGCCAGAGCGTACATACCTCCATATCGCAATATCGGATCCTGGTCCCTAGTCATTTGCTCAATTAGAGTGTCTGCTTCCTCCTCACGACCGTATACAACCAGTGCAATACCGAGGGCCAGACCACGGATAATCTTCTCGTGCTGCGTGTCATGAGCATAAGCCAACATCTCAGCGGCCTTTTCACTGGCTGTACCAACCATCAATAGCCCCATGGCTATACCGGCTGCCTCTCCTGCTACAGCACTATCGGTATACAGGACATTTTTCACATCCTCGTAAATCTCCTCATCTGCAGTGCCAAGAGCAGCCAATCCCAACCCTAGACAAGCCCCGTGTTGAATGACCTCATTGCTAGTGTTCCGTAAGCTCTCCAAAAGAAACTGTTTGATGCCTTCACCATGATTGGCATGGATCAACCCAAGAGCATATAGGGCTCCTCCCTCAGAATATGGACTTCCACCGCCAGTTCCTCCATTCTGTGGTAAGTAAGGGGCCATCAAAGATCTTCCTTGTTGATGGTGACCCCGATGAATAACACCTAGCCCTGCTGTCGCACTGAACTTTGCCCAGTTTGTAGCTCTCTTCAGCCAGTCCAAATTCTCTCGTAAGAATGTATCCACTGTGGTACCCGCATGCATGAGGGCATTTGAGTAAATGGTTGCACTATGGCAAACACTGTTCCGCATCTCTACGGATTGTTTAATAGTCTTCAGTATCAAAAGGTCTGACCTATTATGACTGTAAAGGAACTGCAAAGTCAAGCTAATGGGGGTCTCTCCAGACAGGATACCCTTCAACTTAGCTAACCTCTCGGCATAAGGCGTTCTCGATTCCGCCTGCGCTGCCGGTGATGCTGCAGCAGCAGCAGCATCTGTGGCTACTTCTTCATCATGCCTCGCTAACAGTGGCTCCGTCAGGTCAGAATCCATTGCCGTAGGCCCGGCATCGGTCAATGCACTAATACCGTTCTCGTTACGACTTCCCTGATTCAATCTTCCATTTGTAGCAAGAATACCAGTTGTGCTTGCAGCGCTAGATGGTTCCGGCAGGAGATCCCTAACATTCAGAAGAAATTTCTGATACTCATTTTCAAATAAGTCAAACGCTACCTGGTATGCTAATAGTGCTTCGTTTTTATCCCCTTTCAAAAGTTTGTCCAAAATGTCAGCCACCTTACCTGGCTCATCCAAGAACATGAGGCACTGACATATACTCAAATAGTCCGGCTGTGGAAAATTTTGATAGCCTTTAACCAAAAGTCTCAAAACCTCATGTCGAAACTCACGCCTACTTACAAAAGTCTGCGACAAGCGAAGGCAATAAGACAGCATCGACGCAGCGTTTTCGCTCCTGTTAATCGCTTCCTCTAGCTTATCGAGTCGCCTACACTCTAGTGAAATACCGACAGCCTGCTGGAACTTCCCCTCCTGCATACACTTATCCAACATCCGCTCCACAATTGCCACCAACCGGGGATCCATTTCCGTCGTCTCCGAATCATTCGATTCCGCCAACTTCACGCTCAACGATATATACTCATTGACACATTTCGCGACTAGTGTCTGGACATACTCCGTGTCCTCCGTCACATCGAACAACGACCCGGCTCCCAACGCATACGTCAAGGAATCATTCAGTTCTCCCAGATAGTAGAACACCTTCGACGCGACGAGCGCGGCCATCTGACGCTCATGGAACGTCTCGTCTTCATACAACGACTCAATCGCGGAGATGTTGGTCGATATCTCTGGCCAGAAATTGTCCACCAACACGTTCAAGTTACGCAGAGCGTGCAATTTCAACGTCGGGTGCTGCTCTTGCAGCATGGCCAGCAGGCCGCTCGCTGACGCCACCACCGCCATGATCCCTCCTCCTCCTCCACCCTTCTCCTCCTCCTCCCTCAAGCTCTTCTAGATTAAACTTCTCCACTTCTCCACTTCTTCTCAATGCCGATGAGCACTTCACCTCCGCACCGACGCAACCCTAAACTCCACTCCACTGCACTCCACCTCGTCACGATCAACCCTGAACTCAAAGGCACCATGGGACGGGACGAAGCGATGAGTACTACTCGATCTCGGCAACGAAGGACCAAACCCTAACTCATTCATTGAGTTAGCTTTGCCTTTGCCTTCTCCCCTCTCTCGCTCTCTCTCCCTTTCCTTCGTGTTCCACTTCGTAACCCTAAAAATGTGGGAGTGAAACAAACCCATGAAACGAGGTTCGCTTACGGCTTCTCAATCGCGGAGATGTCAATTTCTTACATTTGTGCATAGGTATGCAAACAAATATATGTTTGTATATATATATATATATATATATGCTTTAAATGAGGTGAGGAAATCAAGAGCAATTATTGTATCAAATTTTGAAGCCATGTTCTTAAGTTGGGGATATTTTCCTATTTCTTGTTGTGTATTTGAAATTTGGTTAAATAAATGAGTTAGATTACTGCACTAAAAGAATAGTTTTTGTTATTAGTTGGATTTAAATAAATTTGAAAAAAATTAGTGTGTTTGATGTAGTTGTTTTTTCAAAATAAATGTATTTAATATCAAGTACTTAATTAATTAATTGATAGTAACTGAAAGGATGTTTTTTTAAAAAATAAAACTTTGAGTACTTTTTGGAAAGTTTTGTAGTTGTTGGACACTCTCATGATGCATGCATAATATATCTTACATTCCGAAGGTAGATTTTACAGTAGTTTTATATGTTGTACAACGATTAGTTGATTCATTAAATTAATATAATTATTTAGTTGGTTATGTATATATGTATGTATGTATGTATTATCCTTACACTACAATTAAAAAATACGAAATATAAAAATATCTTATTATTAATTATATATGTATACACACATCAAGTATATAATTTATATTAGTTATTTTCATTAGATTGATATTTTACAACCAAATTATCATATTGATATTATACTATATTCCCAATCAAACCATAAATTTTAATTTGAAAAGAATTAAAATACATAAATGTGTCATCTTAGATAAACAAATCTATATATATATATATATATATACTCATATATATGCACACACATAAAAATACTCACCAATATTTTTACTCACAAAAATTGCATGCAATATTAATAATTTGTAAAGTTATTTGATGATGATTGTATATATTTCTTGATAGCATATTTTATTGTACTTGAAAGAATAAAAGTATTCTTAAGTCCTTTGTCAAGATGTAAAATTCTTCCTTATAGAGTTGTTCACTTGTAATAGTCTTAAGACAAATAAATCTTAGCCAAATGACCACAATTGATAAGTATTTTTCTAGTATCTAATTTATATTCTTTACCAACATTTGCACATAATGTACATGAACTGTATTGTTGAAAAAACAAGAATGATTTGTTTACTTACAAGTTTTTGTCTTGGAACAGCCAAATACATCTCTATGAGTTTACACATTACCAGTTCGTAATCCTATTGATAGTGGTTTCTTTACCAATAATTCATATTCTTCAAGACATGTACATTTCTAGACATTTGTTCTATTGCTAATGACTGTATCTTACTGGAATGAAAGTTCTTTGTTATCTTGTTTTAAACCATTTTTGATAACTTGTAATCATGAATACAAGACAACCAACACAAGAGAAGACATTAAATTTTTCAAATTTGTAATCAAGAACTCAAGTTTTCATAAATTTAAAATTCATATGTATAGCTCGTACTAACCTAAAATGAAACTGTCAGATTTTAGTTTTAAATAGGATAAAATACGATCAATTATAATCCATAAGACAAATCTTCCGTTGAAAGTTGTTTTAGGATTAATCCCATCATTCCTGTGACAAAATATTTATGATTTGGCATTTTAGAGATTGTGTATGCAGGAATAAAAGGACATTTCACACTCATTGCATCGAATAACTAGTAGAATGAGACGAAGAGTAACGATTTTTCCCACAATTCAAAAATGAATCAACAATAGAAGGAACACTCGCACATTTCATCGACAGTCAAATACCCTATGATTTCCGTGAAATTGATTTTAAAATACTTAAAGGGAATTAAATTTTTAAGAAAAAGAAAAAGAAAAGAGCTTCTGGTCTATTACACCATGCTTGGATGCATAGATGACCTCTACATCTTCCTAGATTCTGTATTTAGACATCTCCCGGCTATTTACCTCCGTTCCAAACTCAACAGAGCCAGAAGACTTCGCCAATAACGCCTCTAAGAAATAGTAGGGTACTACTATGTTGTTCCCATACATTCCTCTTTAAGGAAAAATCCTCCATCCAATTCCAATCTTGATCATGGTGAGATTGTGAATTATATCTCAAATATCTGCTGAATGAGTTTACTCACTGTATAACAGCTCAGATGTTCACAGAATAGTTTTACCTGTGAACTTCTTTCTGAGGGATTGGATATATCTGCTACCACAACAATAGGATACCGAGCCGTCATTTAGAGAGTCCCTTGCAAAAGAATGAGCGGGGACTACATTGAACGTTTCCTGGATATATAAATATTGCAAGGTGGTTCCATTAACCATCACATGTTATCATGTCAAGTTTAATTCATCGGCCATGAATGCCTCCAAGGAAGCCAACCTTGAAGAACAAGAATCCCCATGACCATGCTGGAGCAGTCTGCAAATGTTGGCATGGAGCATTTCCAGTCGAAAGACTCCGAATCCCTTTGTCTGCGCCACAAGTTTTGCTTTCAAAGCATCAATTCTTGGCTTGAGAGACTTAAACATTTCTCCATCCTTATCATGTGGATCTTCACGGCCATCTTCGCCCTCAAGTGAGGGTTCATGAGACACCTTTCGTAGCTCCTCAGGAGGCTCTTGTCTGAGACTGTTCGTCTCCAATGAACGCTGATGAGAAGTGAGGTTGCCATTTCCATGCTGTTCATCAGTGGTCTCAGGTCTTACACCATCACATGTTTCAGGAGCCGGTGAGAACTGCCTATCAACAAGCATATCTTCGGCTTCAATTTGCACCTCTTCTAAAGGCTCGGGATTAACAGTTCCCTCGGAGCAGTTCCCATTTGTCCCTTCACCTGCGGTGAACCCAATAACAAAGATATGAAAATGTAAAGAGAGAAAATCGACAGCAGGTGAACATAGAGGTGAAATGCAAGTAAATAAACCTAGACTACCACATCTCATAAAGACCTCACGAATGGACCTAACACAACTTATGCAAGATATAACCGACACGCATCTTACCAAAGGGGAGCCCCTCGTTACTTCTTCGTGTGCGACGAACACCTCCGTCAGAATTCTTCAAAGCATCTACTTCTGGCTGAAATCCCCTCAGTCTAGCGCTGGCTCGAACGGCTGGAGGAGCAACGGTCGGAACCAACACGCCAGAGGGCACCCCAGGAAGCCGTGGAGGCCCTCCACGGGCAGCAATCTCATCACAAATCTTCACTAAGGCAGGGTCAATCGTAGACACCATGCCAAGCACCTGTTCGTAACAAGTAGCACACAGTTAATCCTGGAATTTAACTTTCAAGTGCAAATATTTAAAACTGTATAAAACAAGACTGCCTGAGATTGATAAGGAATCTAACTTGGCTATCCAACAGGGAAGTGAACGTCACGCCGCTTCCAAATGATACCCTCCAGAGAAAACAGAGAAAAACAGATAATACCCGAAAGTGGCAGTCATGTAGAATAATGAGTAAATAATAATATACGGATAGAAAGGATCGCATCATACCGCATCACGTAACGCACATGCCTTACTAACAATTCGACCTCCTTGATAATCATCCCCATTATACTCCTGCACAAAGTCGAGGCTTTTTAGTCAACGATTTAAGGACTACAAGAAACCAGCAACAGCAACTCCATCAGCATAAATATCCTTCCTGTATCCCAGGGCGATCTACAACATCCATCATGATACGACAAACAAACCCAAGGCTTCACACTGCATACAGTAAAGGTTCTAATTGCAATCAAACTACTATGAAACAAAAAGCACATACTTGAGCATTAGCTGGAATTAAGTCCACATCTGCCAAGAATGATTTCTTTGATAAGTAACATCCACTATCAACACGTTGCAACAGAGTAGCCACATCCATTGGATTGTGCACAATATTCCGATAGTCAGGAGCCTCGTCGTCCATAACTGGATAGTGGAAAATACTAAACCGTCTCTCACATAAAAGCCTGCATTGAAAATCAAATCCAATCCCAACCACAAATATTAATAAGTCAAAATCCACTTCAATTTCCAAGGTTGCTTTAAGAGGTGTGCAGTGCACGAATACTTGAATCACTAGTCCTGTACACAACATTCTGCCAAAGCAATCACGCATAACAAAAAACGCTACGTAAATGAATAGAAGGACGGAAGAAGAATTAGAAGAATGTGACATCTACCTGTTACAGATATCACGAAAGCACATCCGCAATCGCCTAAGATGATTTTCTTCCATTTCAGCCCGCTCACGTAATTCTGCCTCACTTGGCCCTTTTACCACCTTCGGCGCTTTCGGGAGCTCAGGAAGAACCTCTTTCTGCTTGTTTCGACTAACTGCTCTTCTCCTTGGAACTGACACTGCCGCATCAACGAGCTGTGAAAAGAACTTTGACCTCGCTTCTGTGCTGGGCAACTTCACCTCATAACTGCATCAAATCCAACAGAAGCATTATTAGAGTGTAATTCCTTAGATAACATGCACCACGAAAGAGGATAAAACTAGAATAAACTAATGAACAAATAATCACTGATAAGCTTGCATAAAGGAGATCCATAGCTATCACAGGCAATGCATATAAATTATCTTAGTTTGACCGATTGTAGGGATGATCAATTGTAGATTCTGTAACAGCAATCTTTTCGTCATGCTCACCAGTTGTGACCGAATAGGGCACGTATGTCCTCATCCAAATCCTTTCCACAAACACAGGCAGTTGCAAGAAATAGAACTGGAAGATCAGAAGGCAGGTCACCCAAGAGCATCTTCAATACTGCTCGCAGTTGATCATGAGCCTGTCAACGTCCAAGGAGGAATGTCAAAATGTACCTGTAAACCAGAACCCATAGAACTATTGACTCAAGCTTCAAGTCAGTAAGCCTATGTGAACCTACTCTAACGTACACTTCTGTTGGTACTCTCGAATGAAATCCAACAGAAGCTAATCTAAGAAACCAAAATAGACATCTGTTGAAATAATCCAATTCAACTGAACACTTGATTGAATAGAAATTCACGCTCAAAAAACTATATAAGAGATTCAGAAATATGGGATTTGTCCATCTCCTGTGCCCAACTGAGGCACAAAAAATCTACAAACAGTGAACTTACACGCATTGATACGCTGCCTTCAAGAGATAAGAAAAACCGAAAAAAGAAAAAAGAAAAAAACAACATTCGCACAAAGTAATACATACAATGCAAGTCGAAATAAACAAACGTACCGTGTCCCACCAAAGATGAAGCTGAGGCAAGTAAAGTATAGAGGGAGTGTTTCTTCGGGCTTCACCAAAGATATGAACCAATGCTTCTTCAGGGCTCTTTGCACTTGGGTCAGACAAAAGCGAGGGCAGCCCCAATGAATGAACTGGGAACCGCTCTAGCTCATGCAACACCGCTGGTCCAACATGGTCCTGCACCCACAGAGACAGGCAATTAATTCAGTGTGCCAGGTCTGAACTGAATAATCTACCAAGTTGAAGCCATATAAGAAGAGTGTATGTTTTAAATAGGATATAACTATTTAATCCAAATTCTGTAGAAACTGACAACGCATGTTGAGCAAGATTTGAAACGTACCAAGCCAGCTCCTTCCCTCCCACAAAGGAGAAACTTGGGCCTGTAAACTAAAGGAGCACTACATCCCAATCCAAATAAACGGGCTAGCTGTTCTGGACTTTCATCTTCTTCGCTATCTGATGGGTTACTGTTGGAAATGTCCCGGTTCATCACTGGAAAGATGTCCGATAGTCTCTTCATAATCGTTTGCAGATGTCCTTCCAAGCAGGGAGCGATCACGGGTGAGAAAGGCCTTGCATACGTTACCGCACCACGATGAGATGCAGGTGTGATAGCAGATACAGCTTCCAAGAAATGGCGTCTTTCCACCTCCACAGACTCCACATCAATCACAAACTGCTCATCACTCCTGAACAATACATAAAAATCTTATAATCAAAATGGTTGTTAAGACAATGCCTTTGATCCATTCACAAAATCCTCCTTACAGCCTTGAGAAAAAACAAAACAAAAAGTAGCAAAAAGTAGCAAAAAAATGTCAAAAACCAATGGAATCAACTCCTAAAATCATAAACTCAGACAAAAGATGTGAAAATATGATGGAAATTTCTAAGCAGGCATGATAAGCGTTGGGAATAACGAAGGCCTAGCAATAAAAATGGGTTACCCTGGAGAGATCAGCAATGCAAGTACTCAATAAGGAAGTTCTAGAATGTACTTGTAAACTTGAGGATATTTCCTTCGGAAGGCTCGAATTGCAGCTTCCGTACACAGAGCCTTCAAGTCTGCTCCACAGTATCCAACGCATGCAGCTGCAAGTTCTCTACGCAATTCCTCAGATGGTGGCTTTTGCCATTTTCTTGTATGAATATCCAGAATCTCTACTCGTGCCTCAAACGTAGGGTGATTCAAAATCAATTCTCTATCAAACCGTCCAGGTCGACGTAGTGCTCCGTCTATGGCATCTATCCTGTTAGTTGCACCAATCACCACCACTTGACCGCGGGAATCAAGTCCGTCCATAAGAGCTAACAGAGTTGAAACAATTGAATTGTGGATCTGCTCTTGTTTACTGGAACGTACAGGAGCCAAGCCATCTATTTCATCAAAAAAGATAATCGAGGGCTGGCATTTTTGCGCTTCCTCAAAAAGCATACGTAGCTGCCTCTCAGCCTCTCCTACCCACCTACAACCAAGATACAAGGGCAAACCAATCTAACATCAGTTCAGAGTGGCATAATAATCATTTAGTAGGTATAATGTGCTGTGACACAGATGGAGAACAAGAAAATGGCAGCTCAAAACAAGAAGTTGCATAGGATAATTTACTTGGAAAGCACATCGGCTCCTTTCCGCATGTAGAAATTAACTTTCTGTCCAGATCTGGATGCTGCACTTGCCATGGCCCGAGCAATGAGTGTCTTGCCTGTGCCTGGGGGACCCGAGAGAAGAACCCCTCGAGGTGGGGTAATATGATACTTAGCGAAAAAATCTGGATACAACAACGGGAAGAAGACCATCTCCTTCAGTTGGTCAATGTAGTGTGCCAATCCCCCAATCTGCTCAAATCCAACCGTCTCATCCACCTGCACTGGCTGAATGTCGGCTCCTCCTTTAGAGCTTGGACCGGCTGTTTGCGCTCCGCCTTTACCCAACATTCAACGTGACAAAGTTTGCTCGTTAAAAATTAGAAATTAGAAATTAAATAACAAACGCACGCACAAACACAACAAAAACAAGGAAAACAACAGATTATGTTAACACCTGGTGTAGTAGAGGCCCAGTGGCTGCCAGGTTGACTCCAGCCGCTAGCAGCCATACTCAAATTGTTCAGACCAGGTGCTTCCAGACCCGGAGGAAGCCACGGATGAGAGGTGCCTCGACCCATTCGTGACCAGGGAGCTGCACCTTGGTCCTGTTCATCCACGAGCAATGAATCATCTGAATCATCAGCTCTCATCGAACGACGTCGTTTGTGTACCCTGTTTCCTGACCGACGGCTTTCCCGGCCACGCTTTGTGCTGCTCCCTGTAATGAAAGGCCAAACCATCAGAAAAAGTATACGAAACTTCTGCGAAAAACTATGAAATATCCTTCTGTAGCCACTCCAATAAGGATGACGACTTCAGGGTACATTCCACAAAAGCATGCTGAGCCAGATAAGCTGTTCTTATACATGCAAATGAACGAGTCAGAACAAGTTTGTGATTGACACAATAAAGTATCAAATGTCCATCGAGGTAAGCGTTTTCGCTGATGTAGTAGGAAGAATGCAAAGATGTTGCAACTAAGAACCTGATAGACTGAGGTGATCATTCAACGGCTACCAGCACATAGACTCAAAAAAGCATTGGGCTAGATTTTGAAAAGATACATACTAGTTGAAAAGGATCACAAAATTGTTACACACCAACCATCAAATGATTCTAGAAACTACTGTCCAAAATCCAGTGAATCCAAAGAATTGTAAAATCCACATCATCGATATTGTACCCGGTACAGGGACCGCCGTCTAACAATGAACAGAAAACAAGATGCCTCCAAACTATTTCTTTAACAGCCTGAAATGCCATGGGGAACAAACCTCCATGGAACATTTTTCGGGGAGATTGTGCTCTTGCTGTCCTCTCTTCCTTTCGAGGAGAAAATCGCTGCACACCAGTGCGGTTTCGCAGGGCATAGCGACGACGACCTTCCCGCTCCTCAGTTTCTTCATCTTCCTCTCCCTCCTCTTCTTCCTCTTCTTGCTCCTCCTCTTCTTCCTCCTCTTCTTCTTCCTCTTCCTCTTCCTCCTCTTCTTCTTCACCTGCAACCAGAATGATACACCAAATCACAACACTTGATATAAAAGCTACTACACAAATTTTGAAGTAGCCAGCATGCAGGCATGATGCTGATTCTAACGCGTTTCGACCATTGGGTCCTTGACGAAGAACAACTCGCTTCCTATTATGCCAGATGGTCAGGAAATAATTCACACACTAGATCTGAGTGCTACGATCTCCAGCTTAATATCAAGGTAAGAATAGGTCCAGGAATTTGTGAATGTCACCTTTCGCTCCCATTTCTCTGTCAGATGAGTTCTGATCATCGTCTTCGTAATCTTGAGAAGAGAGCTCTAGCCTTGAGGGCCTTATTCCCTGTCGAGGTCTTAATCCCTCTCTTCTAGGTGCAGCAGCAGCATCCATATTTCTGGTCTCTGCGGGCTCAGGGCTCTCTTCTTCTTCCTCAGGGATAGCCTCTGACTTGGTGGAATGGGAGGAAATATGGGAAGAAGAATATCTGTGTTTCGACACCTGAGTGAAAATGAAATCGAAGAAAGAAACGATCAGCAGATGTGCTTGAAAGTTTAAGCCCTTGAATGTTCCCGAATTAGCGAATCCATAATTAAGTTGAAATCATTCTTCTTAAATGAACATCAGCATTCACTTCGATAGACGAATAGCAAAGCCACACAGGACAAACCTTAAAGCGGGTGGACGTTTCACTATCGAAGCAACTACACAACACACAGAACCTATCCTAAATCGATTTATGAAGAAAGGCTGGGCTGGACTGACACTAGGGCATATCAAACGAGGTGAAACAGAAAATTGGACAAGTTCTAGCTTGCACTGAAGACATAATACGTCACAACTGTTACAAAAATACACAACAACAGTCGAATTGGCTAATTTCAGTAACGAAAGAAATAAACAAAGAGATCCAAAGAGATTTTTAACATCATCGAACCGTTCTCAAACGAATCCCGAGAATGCAAATTATGAAAAAAAAAGTGCACCAGTAGATCCAATAAAACCTTAGTGGTGACAAACTAGTGATTCCAGGTTTGCGTGTGGTACATACCCGAGTTGATTGACTTCGATACAATTCATGCTCACTGTTATCAGAATCGTAATCAACATGGACTAGCACACGCCTTTTTCTTGTGGAGCGCCGCAGGTTTCCAGCGTCAGCAGCATGCTGCGAGATAGTAATTTTCAGATCAATCATACAGTACGACTTGGCCAATAAGACAGACACTGCAGCAGCACGTAAGCGCCATTTGAACGCCCGTCAGTATAAGAAGATCAGCTATGTTATGAGGGAACTAAAAAAGTGCTCTACTGAATACTCGCAAAGCCCTAGACGATAACATATCACAACAAGTGACAATTGACACCTAGGTTAATAGCAACTACTCAGATGAAGGAAGTTCCATAGCCATCCTAAAGCGCTCTAAGAGAAGGACAACCCAAACGAAATCACAGATCCTTCCGAAGCAACTTGAAGAGCCACAGCTTGATCCTACTTGCGAACCTATCACTTGCGTCGTGAATACGGATGTCATGTTCTCTGTGCTAGCCACAGCAAGTACTTCCGACTGGGAAAGAGATACTAAACCAACATGTAAGAGCTCTGCACAACAGTGGCAGGAGGACAAACACACCAAAATCAAGAATATCATGTAAAGATGCGGACCTGATTGGGAACACTGTCAGATGGCATCGAGGGATCGGCTTCAGTCTCCAACGTCTGACATGCGATCGATCCCAGAAGAAACAGTAGGCAATGAGAAACACAGCGCCCTCACGAATTCCCACTCTGCCCTATTTTACCGAATTAAGCGCAAAAAACAAAATGCTCACACAGTCATCAAACACTCGAGGAAGAGGCACTTCAAAGAAAGACAAGAAGCAAGCTCGGCCAGAGTAGACACACGAAAATCTGAGGAAAAATGAGCTCTCAGAAATAAAATCTCCAATCCAAACAACCATAAAAACAAAAATAACAAAAAAAGAAAGAAATAAACATCTCACCTTCGAAGGAGAAGCAGATTGCGAGGGCGGATTGCGACTGTTACTGTTCTCGTTGTGATTGTTCCTCCGATTGTTCTTCTTACTTTTATCGCTAATGCTCGTGCTCCGACGCAAAGCATTGGCTATCCGCATATTTGCCAAAGAGCTATGGCTCTTGCGTTTGGACTGTTTAGCATTGTGCAGAAATCGACGGTGCTTGGCGGAGGAAAGGCGTCCTGCCGGCCCATGGCCACGCGCTGCCTTCATAGAACCTCAGCCCTCCGTAAACCCTTACCCTTCCTCGCTCCACCTCCCTCAACACTTGACAACACACCATGTCCGAATTACACCTCTCTCACTCTCGCTCTCTCTCTCTCACTCACTCTCTCTCCCTCTCCGTTGCTCCTCTCACCACAGCATCGTCTCCTTCACTCCCACTCGCGAGCAAGGCAACTGGAGCTTCAAGTTATACATCCCTTGAACCGAAGACGCAACGACAACGATAACGACGACAGCTCGTGGCCTACTAGGGCTTCAACGTTACGGGCCTTCCTTCCCTTCCTTTTCTTCAAACGCTTTCGCTTCCTCCTCCATCATAGCCCCTACCCCCCGTCCCCCAGCATTTTAAATCTTTTCGCTCGCAATTACACCCCGCTCTCAGCGTACGCCGGTAAACTTGTGTCCTCCTCCCCGTCCCCCTCCTAGTCCTTCCCTTCCCTTCCCTCGTTTTCTTCTATACCTCACTATTATTTTTAGTGTGGATGTTTAAGACTGGAATTAGTGTTGGGTTGAGTCAGAAGTTGGTTGATGAGTCGACTTGTGCTCACCCTGGATCCCTTCAACTAACTATTTTTCTTCCCTTTCCCATGAAAACTCAAACCCCCTCTCCCCCCCCCCCCTCTATCAGCTTCTTGAAGCTTCCCCATCTCCATGCCTAGTCATCACACCTCCCATGCCTAGTCAGCAGCTCCTCCTCCCTCCTCCTCTTCCAGCACCTCCCCGTCTTTCATTTTTCATGGCCCAAAATCCCCTCTTTGTTTCCCCCTTTTTCCCCTTTTTCCCCTTTTTTGTTTTTTGGGTTTCACACAAAGTTAAGTTTTGTTTTGTTTCGTTAAATTAAGTTAGGTATTCTTTTTGACTTAGTCAAATTTTGTAGAAGCATGCACATTGCATTTTTTTTTTTCCATTAACTAATGCTAGGGTTAAATATTCCTAACATACTAACATGTTGTGAGTGTGGTGTTTTGAGTTAGGGTGTAATTTTCATGCTAAAATGAAAAGGTCAAAGTAAAACAAATAAATGTCATGCAATTGAGAAACTGCTGAAGGGTTAACCTAGCGGATTGATGATTATACTTCACATCAACCATTGCTCACACAAGTATTACACTCAAAAATTGTAATATTTGGTTATGAAACTTAAAATAATTGCAAAGAATGTTTTTATTATCAACATTGGCAGTGTGAAACAGAATATTGTGATTATTACTAAAATACTTGACATGCAATTCTTTGAACACAGCATTTGAATTATATTATATTTATCAATTTAGAAATGTTGTATTTAGAGAAAATCTTTTAGACAAAATACCCCTATGTGCACACTAAAATTACCAAATATATACAAAATTGGAGTGATGCAATGAGTTGAAATACTCAAACCATTTCATTTCAATATTGAATCAATCAAAAATAAAAAGTAACAATTATATATATATATATATATATATATATATATGTGTGTGTGTGTGTGTGTGTGAATGAGTGCATTACTTTTATTGCAATTTTTTTTTTTCTCTTTTAAATTACATAAAAAATCATATTAATCTTTTTATTTGTTAACCGTAACTTGGTTGATTTTACAACAACTCAAATTCTCCCCGTTGATTATTTTGTTTTTCCAAGTGAGTGTTACCACAGACCATGTCGCACCAAATTCATCGGGCGTCCAAGTATCATCCATCCAATATCATCTACCCCTATCAATTAGTGCCGTCGTGCTACTTTTTAGGGCTTCCTCGATGATCAGTGCAATTTCGGATTCTTCAGTTTTATCGAGGTCAGTCAGTTCCTTATCGACATCACCAAGTCTTGCTTTGTCGCTGAGGATCATTCGGTATGTTTCTTTTTCTGTCGCAGCTCTCAATTAATCGGCGCCATACTCTGTCGTGAGTTTGTATTGAAGCTTTATTACGGACTTTCAAAGCTGCAGTCATTTTCTGCATGTTGTAGGATTGGTGCTGAGGATGTGTTGATTTTAAATATCGAAGCGGGTTGTAGTGAATTGGATTTGCAAAGGATGAGAGTTTTTAAGTTCGCGGTGTCGAGTTTCAGTCCTGGTGCGAACAATAATGAATGTATATTTGGCACCTGGCAGAGGTTTCGACCCTTGCTGAGAATAGCTGCTGGATCGATTGCTGATCTGATCCAGTGGTTGAATTAGTCAGAGATCGAGGAGGTGAGGGTGTTGGATCGGGGAAGGGGTCGAAGCATGTAAGTGAAGGCACTACCGGACACTTTGCAAACCTATGATGCGCGGATATTTAGTTTTCACATGTGTTTGAATACGAGGTGTAGTTCTGGGAGTGGATTTCGTCAAAAGGTTTGAAAAGCTCGACTTTTACCCATGAGGGTCTGATGTGATACCTCATGTCATACAGCATATCAGTTTTTACTCGGTACAGAACGATGTTTGCTCGTTACTATGCTTAATCAACTACATTCTCCAGTACATTACTTCACATGCCTTCCTTCTGGAAGATCTGATGTCAATCCTCCTTCTACCAAGTACTATTGAACTCTTGTCATGAGGTCTTCAACTTTTTAGTGCGAGTTAGTGAATCGCATTCTATTTTTAGGCATTTGAATTGAGCTGTCCAACAACTTTGTTGTACATATCTGTTGATGTTTACGCACGGAGCCTCAACGTCTTCAGCTATATGCTTGGTCTGATATTGTTAGCTGGCTGTGGCCGTGAGAGACTATTGCGCACGTCAGTTTAGTGATTCTAGTCGTTTTTCTTCTATTTGACTAGGCGTTAGACCGTCATAACAAGAAGGATGCAGGTAAAATCATGCTCATATCTGTGGCTCGAGTGTTTTTCTCTTTATTTTTATCATACCCAAGAATGTAGTTTCTCATTGCGTGTGATAATGGGCCGCGAAGAAGAAACATTCGAGGCACAGTTCGAGATTTGTCAAAGGTACTTGTTTTGCACACGAAGTCTTCCCAGACGTTCTGGAGATGCTAGTACTACTCAAGGGTATCATTATAGGGGACAAATATGTCTGAAGTGCAAACTCGTGTAGCATTTAATGCGAAGTCAGCTGGGATGAAGCGACGAAAAAAAAGAAAAAGAAAAATCATAAAAATCATAAAAATGCAAATAATACTAACAGTACGATAACTATGATGACGATGGTGATGATGCGAATGGTTCGTTTGGCAAGCTTATCCAATGCTGCGATGTGTGAAATGCAGATACGTTTCCGGAATGCGGAAGAAACCAACCTTGAGTTCGCAGAGAATGTAGAAGACACGCATTTGACAGTTATAGCCCTTCACGTATCAATGCAAATAAACACCTCCATAAAAGTAACTAATCAAGTGCGGCATTTGTTGATTGATAGAAAGATTATTCTCGTTATTTCGAAAGGTGGAAAATTAAGGAATTATTTGAAGCTTTCTCGAAGTTTTGTAAGAAAACTGAACACCAGTGTGGGTGTAAGGTTCGCTATCACCTGTTTGGCCTTTCTGAAGCTTCACAGAGCTAATTCTTCCTTGCTCAAATTTCAATTCATGTGGTTTACACATTTTGCATCCTGCTTTTACAACTCTGTCGTATAGTATGTTAGCACACCTTCTAAGCAAAGTTTCCAGTCATTTACACCAAATTCATATTAGTGGAGAGTCGAATGTCTGATCCTTGCATACTATCTTGTGAGATTGCATCTGAATCTGGTTCTGCAGAGTATCAGAGATGTAGTTTGGAGAACTTTTTACTGTATCCATTATCTTGCCAGTGTTGGCAAAACATGGGCAGAGAATTCAAAGCGTCAATCTTATTATATGATGTCCTAGCCATGTTGTGGGAATTGATTCGCCAGCATCTGAGCCGTAATTCGTTCCCTAGTTTACTTCTGGACATCTTAGTGTGAAACAGTTTGTTTAATTTTGTTGACTAATTTGGATGCTGGTATTGTATTTTTGCATTCGTCGCGTGCATTTAGTGAACATTGGAATCTTACGCCATTGTGGGTGCTCTGAATGCTTGAAACTTACAGGTGAAGGGCTGGTGAATGTTATTGACGTTTGCTGGGAAATTTAAGACCTTTAGCTTTAAGCGAGTGGCAAGTTTGAGATAGATCCTGTCAATAACTGGATTGTTTCTATAGAGATTCAATAAGCAAATATGACTGTAACATAGTTCGTTGCTTTTCTCAGTTTATCCTGTATTTTGAAGTTGGGAATTGTTTCGAATCAAATTAATTGCTTATATCTTTGGTTCACAACCCAAATTGTTCCTTGCTTTTCTAAGCAAAATTATTCCTTCTGTGGTAGATCTGCCTTTTAACACCAACGTCGTGGGAGGATGTTCTTTGTTACCAATAAATCTTTCTCAACATAATTAAAATTGAGTAAACGCTCGCCTGATTGATCCCAGTGGTGCTCATGTCGCAGAGAATTCATTACTTTTAAGTTGTAATTTGAGTACTCGACCACTGTTTCTATTTACATTATAGCTTTTCGTTTCTTTGCGTCTGAAACACATTTAGTTCTCTGACTTTTTTTGGAGATTAAATTTGTAACAACTTAAGTTATCTCTTATTGAAAGAGACTTGGCATCATTTGAACAGTATTGGACGAGGGATTGTCAGCAGTTGGCAAGTGCTCAAAATCAGCGGCTCTAAACTTGATACAGTTGGTTCTTCCAAAATTAATGATTTATCTAATAGGATTTAAAACTGAGGAGTTTATCTATGTGAGCAGTTCTTACCTTTTCCTGGTTGGGCGAAAATGTCATTTTAAACTTAAAGTAGTGATTCTGTCGCTGTTTTCAAAAGCATCTGAAAGTCGAATTGCACACATCAGGTTCTGGCAGAAGGAAAGGCTTCGCTATGGATGTGGGATCTTGTTCCAGTGCTGCGGCACGCGGAGGAGGCACTGCGGAAGTTATTCCCTAACTTGGAGGTCTTTCTGCGACACAATTGAGCATCTGTTACTATGATCACTATGACTCTAAGTCTGCAACCTTTCGAAATGACCAGAGAGCCCGTACTTTAATTCATCTGAGTTTATCTGTTTTCTGATATACAGTTGGTTGGACACACCCAATTCCTAATTAAGATGTCGATTTGAAATGAAACTGAGTTACAAAATGTAGTTTCTGATGCCGACTGAGGTGTAGCTCAAAATGTAACTTTTAACTCTGTTATGAGGAACTAAAACATATTGGAAGTTCCTGTTCATCATTGCTTGATTAAGTTATGAACTTCAAAGTCCCAATACACACATCGCCTAGTGTCCAATCGATATTGACTGACAAACCCTCTAACATTTATTGTTATTACTCTAATTATCTTTAGGTGCTTTAATAAATCTTAGCTTGATTCTGTCTGTCTCTTGACTCAAATTTCTCAGAAGCTGATGATTTTTGGATAAAAAACACCACATTAACACGAAGTTGAGGGCTAATTCGTGGTAGCCGAGGGTTTATTACACGTTTCATAAATCCATTTGAGTCACTCAAGAGTTTTGACCTCAACGAATAAGGGAGCCTATGACCGCTGTATGCGAGGTGATACACATCAACGACATACATGTATATATATATATATCTGCACATCATTCATTCATCGTCTGTTTTTCATTCATCTATTATGATGCATTCATTGATCCATTTATTTATTGACTGTTTTCATTCATCGATTGATTTATTCATTTGCCGATGCCGGTGCCGGCTTGGCGTTCACAATCAGCTGCATCAGATGCAAAGCTGCGCTTGTTTTGTTGCGTCTCCGAGAAATGGAGGGAAAGAGAAGCTTTCCGTCGCCATAGCCATTGTGTCTTTTGATCCCTTGCGGGAAATATCGCTTCGTTGTGGCGGTGTTTTTGTGTTCTCTCGACGGAGATCAACATATCTTCGTCTTGGTTAGGATTCCACTTATTTTATCCTCGAGGTTTCATTGTTGCTGAGAAAAGTAGAGGAGTTTCAGGAAATGATTTAGAATTTTCGTTTTGACGGTGAAGAGGAACAGGAGTTAGTTTTAATCAGCAACCGGCCTCAATGTGCCGAGCTTGGGATAAACGCCGGGTGTCGGTGGAATCGGAAAATGTTTGAGCGCGGCCGTAGAAGTATTCTTAGGGCAGCTGGGGTTTAGCTAGCATTTTGAATCAGGGTTGATGAAATGCGACGAAGGCGGCCGTGAAATGTGTAGCAGTCGGAAGAAGAAGAAGTTTTATTCGGGCACTTACAAATCTTGAATGCTCAATCTTTGGTTTAGGTCCGGGGTTATGCATTTCTTGGACTCAAGTATCATGTCCGCGCCTGTTTTTTGGAGTTCTACTGTAAGGAGAAGCCTCCTTTCGTCAAGTTCGAATTTAGTCTACATTTCGATCACCGCTATCGTGCACCCCGAGCTTGAGTGCAAGCAGACTCATCGCTCGGCGATAAGCCTTACCCAGAACTTGTCTTTTACATTCATGATGACAGGAAGCGGAGTGAAAATCTTCTCACTCGCTTGATTTCCAATTAGTTTGTTAGTCTACCTCCCCATTCATTCGATTTAAATAATATTCAGTGTGAGTGATGCAAGCAAAAGAATAAGGAGAGTAATGGGTTATTTTTACAACATTGTGTTGACGCGATTTTCGCTTCATCACCCTTGATTTTGCTATTGTCGTACTCAACCAGGCTTTAGCGTTGAAAACGGTGTGATTAGAAGCTGGTTTGTCAGCTGCATACATGAATTTGTCTGTGTAGAATCACTAAGTTCAGTCTATACGAATCTTCTCGAATCATTTCAAATGTAGAATTGGTATGGTTTGAGAAAAAAAATTATGTACTGACAGCGGGGGAATTTAGGTCATGTGTTATTTGTAAATTAGTGGAGAGAGGAAGGCCATGGAAGGAGACGTGATCTCCGATTTAGTGTGGCAGCTAGCGGTGCGCATCTTTCCAAGTGGTAGAAAAAATGCAGAAAATGGTGGTCATGGGCTGCATAAAAAGCAGGGTGATGCAACGCTGCACCGAGTGCATCAGTACGCAATGCGTATTATTGGAAGCAGAATTGCTCCGTCTCTCGCTAACGACGAAGCTGCAATGGCTGAAGCAATCAAGAAACAACTAGTTCAAGAAAATAGGTCTGCTGACGCCCTTAGTTTTGCAGACTTGCATAGGAGGCTATCATCTTACAGTGGGCCTGGTTGTATCGAGAATCGGTGGGCTTTACTGTACCTCCTTCGTGCAATTGCAGAAGACCAAAGAAGAGAGAGAGCGGAAACAAGGGGCTCCGCAATCCCGTACACGTCCACTCTCACAGGTAGACCTGTCCTCATCCAGTTCCACTTAGCTCGACCTGTTCGCGCTATATTAGCCTCGAGCTACTTTTCTTGTAATTCATTTGGCGAAACCTGACAATTTTCTAACAATGCGATTGTGAAAGAATCAGCAAAGCCTAACGTGTTGCGTTTCAGGGGCATCGGCTTATGGAGGCCTCCCTTCATTTCCGTCCAACAGTACGCATCCTAAGCTTCCAAATTATTCACCGGAGCCCGAGGTATCGCCTGGCAGGACTAGCTCCTCTAGGAATGGCACCCCTCAACCTCAAACTTGGTCACAATCCTCACGGGCACAATCACCAAGTTCTCCCAGTGGAGTTCTCATTTTGACAAAAGATGACGGAAACGCAAAGGCAGCTGCAATGAGAGAATACCTCGAGATTGTTCAATCAGAATCAGATGTTTCAGAATTAGCCATAGTGCGGGATGTCTTGTATGCATGCCAGGGAATTGATGGCCGTTATGTGAAGTTCAATAAAGATGTCGATGGGTACATGATTGACGAATCTATCAAGGTTCCTAAATCTACAAGAACTTTAGTTCGCCGGCTCTGTGAAGTAGGATGGTTATACCTGCGAGTCAAGAATCACATCTCTGAGAGCCTTGAGAATGGTCCATTGGAAGCCATAGGTACAGTGGGTCAAGCTTTTTGTGCTGCTCTTCAAGAAGAACTTGCAGACTTCTATAGATTGATGGCGGTCCTTGAGGGTCAGGTTCACCATCCTATACCCTTGATGGGAGGAGTTGACTCTGCCAATTCCGTTGGTAACTATTTATCCTTGAGAAGATTAGTTGTATGGCTTGGGGAGCCGTTGGTCAGAATGCGGTTGATGGCTGTGTTGGTGGATGACTGCAAGACATTGAGGGGCGGAGCCATGGCAGGGGCTATCCATATGCACGCTCAACATGGGGACCCATTGGTTCGTGCATTCTTAAGTCGTCTTCTTCGCCAAGTGTGCTCACCACTTTTTGAAATGGTTCGAAGGTACATGAGTTTTTGCGTTTGAAAACTGTATGATTCATTTGTGATTTGTTTGAGAATGTAATCACATTGCTTTAGCTAGTAGCGGAGATTTTGTTTCTCTAATTTCCATTTTGTAAATGCTTTAGGTGGGTACTTGAAGGGGAGATTGATGATTATTATGGAGAATTTTTTGTTTCGGCCAAGTCCGTGAAGGCAGAAGCACTGTGGCGGGAGGGTTATCAACTCCAGACCGCTATGCTTCCCTCTTTCATCCCTGAACCTCTCGCTCAACGTATTTTGAGAACAGGAAAATCCATCAACTTTCTTCGAGTTTGCTGTTCCGATCAAGGATGGGCACAAGCTGCTTCTGAAGCAGTCGCTGCTGCAGGAGCCTCTGCCAGCGGAGGTATCCTTGGTTACGGTGAGATTGAAGTGTTGGAGGCACTGGTTGCCGAAGCAGCGGGTCGGATTGATAAACATCTTATCCAAATTATGTACAAAAGGTAGTATGCTGCAGACTATGCTCGATTTCTGAGTAGTTTCTTTTCTTCGTTTCGGTTTAGTTCTTCACAATTCATCTTCGATTTTCTGGGTGCTAGTTTCCTATGTGATCTGCATGTCGCAACGCTGTTTGTCTTGGTTACCTTCTTGATAAGTATTCCTTGCCAAGTGTGACTCACTAAATTAAGCTTGGGTCAACAGATATCGATTTCCGGAACATTGCCTGGCGATCAAGAGGTATCTCCTTCTGGGGCAAGGTGACTTTATACAATGTTTGATGGATCTTGTGGGACCAGAACTTGCTCAACCAGCTAACACTTTAAGTTCTTTCAAGTTGTCGGGGACCTTAGAGAGCGCTGTACGGGCATCCAACGCTCAATACGATGATGGAGATGTACTCGATCGGCTCAGAGTTCGTATGATGCCGCACAATGGCGGGGACAGAGGATGGGATGTTTTCTCCCTCGAGTACAATGCTCGAGAACCTTTAACTACGCTATTCACGGAAGAAGTGATGGGCAAATACCTGAAAGTATTTAATTTTCTGTGGAGGCTAAAGCGTGTGGAGCATGCACTCTGTGCGACTTGGCAGACAATGAAGCCTAATTGCATGATTGCTCGGCTATGGTCCAACAAAGAAGGGGGGCAATCTCAGCTAACTGCAGTTCTAAAAAGGTGTCAGACCTTGCGAAATGAAATGAACCATTTTGTGACTAATCTTCAGTACTATATCATGTTTGAGGTTCTTGAGTACTCATGGTCCAACTTTCTTGAAGAGATGGAGGAGGCACATGATCTTGATGAGCTGATTGCTGCTCATGACAAGTATTTAAGCTCTATTTTGGAGAAGGCCCTGTTGGGTGAGCGCTCTCAGTTGCTTTGCAAGACCCTTTTCAGCCTCTTCGACCTCATTCTGCGGTTCCGTGGCTTAGCAGACAGGCTATACGAGAATGCACGCGAAGTTCACACCAGGTACGCTTCATCTATGCTCTTGGAGTTGAGTACTAATAAGTATTAGTGTAAATCTGTTTTGAAATATTTACTCTATATTGGAATGGCTGCCTAAGTTCACAAAGAATGGTTTTGTCTAGATTAGCTTTTTTGCTGTCATATAAGCACATGTTAACAGGTGTACTCAATTTCTTCGGCAGGGGGGAGTCATCATTGAGGTCAAAAGGGAAAAGTGATACTCTATCCAAATCCCGCCCTGGGCAGAGGAAGTTGTCCACTTCACAGCTTTCAGGTGACTTTTTACGAATTCTTGGTGAAGAAATGGATGGAGTTGCTGGGGAATACTCATCGCTCCTGGAAGGGTTTATTGCACAGTTGCCAGTTCAACAACATGTAGATCTGAAGTTTCTATCTTTCAGACTTGATTTTTCTGAGTTTTACACCCGTCAGCACATGGGCATGTCTTCCACTCCCATTCGGCTACATCGAACCCCTATCAGGATTCAGAAACCTTCGTTCGGCGCAGAACCTGCCTTGGTTTAAAGTAGGATGTACGTTGAAATTTGAGGCGGGATTGTAGATGGTCTTCATATGATATTACACATTCTCAAATTTTGCAAGGTTGTGATGGTTAGAATCTAGGAGGGGGTATTGCGGTCTGAAAGCAGGTGTGCTGGGCATGTCTCTAGCAAATTAGTAGGAAAATGTTGGAATTGTTTCAATGCTGGAGAAATATATTAAATCCTGGAACCTCTTGAAATGGCTCTACCTTCAGTAATGCCCACTTTTGTGTTATAACAGTTTTTGTCGTTTCTTTGTGCAAAGTTTCGACGCAAACATTCAAAACCTATCGGATTAGAATGCTATTTTACGGTTACAAAAAGTTCCCATCTTATTTTATATTACGCTATCTGACCAAGTCAGCTTGCGCACATGGTCCTGCACGTCGAGAGACGTGAGACACACACTTCCGCACTTCCGATGCAGCCTTTCAGTTCAACTGAACTGGAGATGATAGTACCTGTAGTCGACACCTGAGCTGTTCAGCAGTAATTGTGCACACCTAACTAAATCACGATACATAACCACTGCACACCAACGCAGGCATTCAACCACTGAGCCCCGCTGTCAAACAGGCCCTCGCAATGCTCTTGTTGCATTGCATAGTGACTCAGTCGCTACTTTCCACCATTAGAGATCAGTGAAAGGGATTCTTGGCTTCTGTGTGAGACATCTCTCTAACAGGTGCAGAGGATATTCAGACACCAAGTTGTAGGAAGGTGTTCGCAAAGCAATGCAGGCATGCGGTGTGAAAAAACCTGAGATCTTCAAGGACGTTTTATGTCGTGCTTATGGCCATCCGAAGAACCCACAATGCCAAATCGATGGTGCACTTGACGTTGTCTGTAATCAAATTCAAACCAGTCCAGTCTATTTCATTGGAACAACCGCAAGATTGATAGACTTCATGCAGAGGGAAAACAACCTCATGGAACAACATGCAATGCTCACGAAAATTGGATAACAACTCATGTGTCAATTCTACCATAATAACTAACTAACTAACTAACTAACTAACTAACTAAATAAATAAATAAACTTGAAAACATGATTTGTCTTGCAGAGACAGTTGATCCATACTATCAGACAAAAAAATTCAACAGCAAAAAAACTAAGAAGGTAAATAAAAACCTGGAGAAACAGATACTTAAATGGCTTCCACGTATCTCTACCAAGAAGTCCTTACAACTTATCTTCTAGAACTATATTTTTTCAGAGACCATCTTCACTTCGTTGGTGCCATGGTCTTGTAGTTTTAGGGAAGGTCCATGCTCAAGATAACCCTCCGTCATGGAGCAATTCGACGTGAGGCTCAAACTACCAGTCTTGTCGAGATCGAGCTTTGGTATACTAACCATCTTGCGGGACCTCTTCATGTTGCCACTGGAAATTGGTAAGAAGGATTTGGGTCAGCACTATGTTTTGCTTCAGCTTTATGAAACGGTGCTTGAAGTTATATCGTGAGACCCACCGCATGTTGTGTTGTATTGCGTACGGTTAACGTTCTTAGACTCGAGGATTGTGTGGGCCTGGGAGACAATGGTGACACCCTTTCCGCTGCTTCAATGCTCTGCAACTTGCCAGTACCGTGCTACTGTTCTGGGATGCCAAGAATATGTGAAGTGATACTGGGTCAAGATACCCAGAAAATTGTTGGGTGAGATTTTGGGTTTAGACTCCGAGATTGTGTGAGCTCCATTCTTTTACTTTCTCTCGACGAATTCCACTTCGCCTGGACCTCTTGTTTCCTCTTGAAACGCTTACAATCGACCTGCAAATGTGCAGTAACCCCAAGTCGATTTACTCTTGTTCTGTCCACGTAAGGTATCACGTTCAATTTCATCAAAAGCAACCGATGCATATTCGCATCGTTGCTTGAAGGAGGTACCTCACGGCCGAGGAAAAGCGTTCAGGAAGACACGATGGGCTGCACCAAAACCCCTTAATCAACGGCGGGGGTATGGTATTCGCTCTTGAAGACTAGTCCTGGGTTTCTAATCAGGACAATCAATGTGGGTCATTAGGTCTCGCTGAAAATAAAAATGACCTGCAGGCGCAAGAAAAGCGTAGGAGGAGGCAAGATACGTCACGGAGACCACGTATGGACGGAAAAAACTGAGAGACTGCACTGTCGACCGGACTCGACGCATCCTTTATTTATCATGCCAGGGACACATTGCTTGCTGCGTTCGACCTGTTGCCAAGACCAACTGTCGGCAATCTTTGGTGAAAATTGAACGCAGCGTGTCTAATCTCGATCAAACGAACTCGAAGCTTCGTGTTGTCTTGGAAATACGCAAAGTGGTGCCTATCTATTTATAGAGTACTGGGTGACTAGATTCTTCCTTACCTAGGTTAGTATCTCGTGCCTTGCTTCCAGTGGCAACAAAGATTTACCGTAAAGGGCAAAGTTGCGGAGACCAGTAACCAAGCGTAATTTCACTTCTTGTGCATGAACAGGGTATCATCCCGTCCTCGTCGGCCTCAGTATTCTCCTCTCTTTCTATCCACAGTTCTGATCAAGGTTGGCGCTGGAGTTGGTGAGATTTTGACGTTGACGTTCGGCCTCTCTTCGTTTACATTCTCGTATTGATCGAGATGCGCAGGATTTTAGTGACCCCTCTTGTGGAACATGCTGCATAATGTCAATGTTTTGGGGAAACTTTTTTTGGTGGGCGAGATAAGTTATCTCGAGGATTTTTGTGGGGTTAGAGAAGTGGTTGCATTGCGATGGAGTCGGAGTTTTAGTTGGTGGTGGTGAAAGGCGGGCGAGTGGAGTGTTGGAGTGGGTTGGATCATAGGGCGAGGATTTGGGTTTTTGGAGGTTTCCGTATGTGGTTGTTTTGAGAGGTTTTGAGGATGAAAGAACCAGCTCCAGCGACAGAGGATATAGTCCTGAGCAGCAGGAAGAGGTTGAAACCACCAGGTAGCAATAACGGGCAGCCGTCGAGACGACCGCGAGAGGAAGAATTGGGGAAAGACGGAGTGGTGACTATACCGCGTCTTTTGAAGACTCCTAACGTGAACCATAAGTCGGAAAATTATGACGATTTGGAGGACTTGGAATATCCGGCCGCATTGTACAGTAGCATGGAGCAGCATTTGCCGTCCGGCTTCTTGAACGTCTCACGCGAAAAGAAATTGGTGTTGTTGGATAGGATATTGTCTAAGTATCGTCCTAATGGAGAGCGTGCGAAGGTAATTCTGATATAGGGTTTGTACTTCCTAAATTTTTATTTTAAGTTATCTGGAAAGACCCGTTTCTTGTTGCTTTCAATGAGAGGCTGGCCGAATACTCCAGCTCAGATTACGAGAGAACAATATAGAGTTAACTGGATCGGAGTATGCGAAGCGAAAGCTTGATTCGGAGTACTTTTCCCTGAACTCTTTCAGCCTTCATATTCGGGCATGCGGTGCACAAGTAGCACTGGTTCCAGGGAGAAAAGGTCAGCGAAAGCGCTATTGAGGTGTTACTCAGGAGTTCCCTCTTCAGAATTTCAAGTCGCCTGTAACCCTAAGCATCGAACCACAGGCATATTCTTTTTCTTAGGGCTTGTTGTAGATATGGTTTATTTCGCATCTTCGGCGATGAGGCAGTCATGTTCATGAGAGAAAGAGGAGTTTATTGGAACAATTGCATCATTACGTATCTTTAAAAATACCGGGGAATTGGTCATGCCCATCTCGATGAGTTAATCTATCTTGTCTATTTGATGTTGGCGTTCATTATTTTGCTTGAATATGTTCGCAGAAACATCGGGAGTACAGAGAAAGAATAAGGCATAATTATCAGGTAAGCGCAGCATCTTCTGGATCGATGGTGTATCGACAGTGAAAATCAGCTGTGGCACTCAAAATTCTTACTTTCAGATGTGCATATACTAAAATATATTATGATACTGCAGCCACTACATTTTGAACTCTACACGCTTGATCCCGAGCGCTTTTTTGTGAACTCCTTCTTGGAAGCGGTGAAGGACGGGTCGGAGACTGCGCTGCGCCGCATTCTGACCGAGCACTCTTCAGGGGTTTTTACTTTCAGCATGTTGAAACCTTCTTTCTGCGTAAAAATGTTGGAGGAAGTATGTACCCATAACTTACGGTAGTTCCAATATTTGTGGTTGTACACATTTGAGGCGTTATTTTGCTTCTCAATTGCTCCTACACTCAGACATGTTTAATTTTCCTAGTTTGATTGTTTAGTTGTAGTAAACACGGAAAACAACTATTAAGTATTCATGGAAACTATCACGTAAATGAGCTGTTTACTTTGTGCCCATATTTCTTACTATGGTGTCCCCGATGAACACCAATTTAGGCAGTTTGTGAAGAGTTTTTCTGTGATGGATTTTGTCCAGGTAGAGCATTTTGAGAGATGGGCACAAGAAGCAAGAGTGAAGGTCATGCGTCCAAATACTATGAACAATTACGGAGCTGTTCTCGATGACATTGGAATGGAGTCCATGTTGAATCATCTAATGATCCGCTACCTGAAACCCATGGCTGCTGGTGCCTCCCTTACGCTTTTCAGCCTTTTCGAACCATGAAGTGTCTTATTAATTCTTTACACATTGTGAGTATTATCGTTGTATTTTTCTCACCGATTGTGAGATATCTTTTTTGGCAGTGTTGTTTCTCAATGTTGGTGGATGTTCTTTGGACACTCACCATGGTTTTGTTGTGGAGTATGCAATGGATCGCGATCTTGACCTTGGTGAGTTTGCGTAGGTCATTAACCTTTTAGTATATAGTATCTCTAGGAGGGTAGCGGCCTTTTGTTTCTGTTACGCCTCCATAAGAAGATTGAATCCTTAATTTTCGCATTATGAAGATAGCAGACGGAAGACACCTGCGTTTGTTGAGGACTGACTAACCTATTTTTTGTTTCTTCATAGCGAGTTGAGTTTTGAAACATTTTTCTGATGAGAATTTTGTCATACTTGAGATTTAGTTTAGATGGCTGAGTTTTATTAAAATCTGGTGGACAAAACAGGCTTTCATGTTGATGACTCTGAGGTGACACTAAATGTCTGCCTTGGCAAGGAGTTTGATGGAGGAGAGCTCTTCTTCCGTGGTGTTCGATGTGACAAACATGTGAATGGCGAGGCACGGCCTGAGGTACTGAGAAGCACGACCTTACTCTTTCTCCTGGTGCGGGCGAGTCATGATTTATCAATTGAATGCACTTCTTAGAATGCTGCACTTTTCTGGAAAAGTCATCAGGTAACTGCAACTTCTTTGATATCCACCAACTTTTCCAATGTTTGGCAGGAAGTATTGGAATACTCTCATGTACCTGGTCACGCCATCCTACATGCTGGTCGTCACCGACATGGTGCGAAGGCTATTACCTCTGGTCAGCGTACAAACCTGATTCTTTGGTGTCGCAGGTGAAGTCCTGTTTTCACTAAATCTACCGGTCATTTGTATCATGGATAGTACAATCAATGTCTAAGTACAATATCTATTTCAATGATTTTTGTTGTTTTCCTCCTTTGGCATTAGTTTCCTCGGCGAAGTTTTCTTTCGTTCCTTTTGTTTGTGATATTAAGGTTGTGTCACTCATTTCTGACAGCTCTGAGTTCCGGGAGTTAAAGAAGTACCAGCGTGATTTCTCTAGTTGGTGTGGAGAGTGCCTGTTGCGGAAGAAAGAAAGAGTTCGTCGACTTTCCAGTGCTAAACGGCAACTGGCATCTTGATCTCACCATTATTTTGCTGGGTACATGAAATCTTATGTCATAGTTTCTGTAAATTATGCCGGTAGCTGTGTGAGATCTTTAAATTACTTGCTCTTCTCAGAGGAGGTATCATAGTAGCAACTCTGCATAATCTAAAATAGTCTGTACAGTGATAAGTCTACTCGTCAGCCTCATACACTTGAACACCACGGCATAATTCCTTTCGAATAGCCATTTCTTCTCTCTTTTTGTACGAAATTGATTTACATCGTACAATTTCTAGCTTCTTTGCCAACAGTTGACAGTGGACACCAGTTATTTTTGTGTTCCAAATTGAATTGACGGTGAGATTTTCTTTAATTTTTACTTTATAAGTAGGCTTTCAACTACGGACGCAAATGTAAGTGACATAACGTGGAATTTGTTGGTCTTCATCCTTATATTACAATGACAACTAAACGATCCTCCGTTTGTTGCACAAATATTTTGGTTCCTGCTGCACTATACATCATTCTTCATGATCCATTAATTAACTCAAATGTAAGGTACTTCAAACTGTTGGAGCATTAGTGTTATTTTCCCTTTCTTTTGGAAGCAAAACACTTGAGGGATGGCATTATATTAATGTTATTTTTCCTTTCTTTTGGAAGCAAATCACTTGAAGGATGGTATTATTTGAGTACATGTATTTGAATTAGATGAGGATGCAGAATTAAATTGGATGCTGAAAATGTTATGATCTTTGATTTGTAAATGACAATCTTCAATTGTGTAGGCAGTGGCATTGGAATATGTAATGGGGCACACTTTTGGTGCAATTCTATTGTAAAGAAGACAATTATTTTCTTTCACAAATGATAAGATTTGCCTACACTTGGTAAGAATAGTGTTTATTTCTTGATGCATATTATGAAATGTTTTTCTTTTGTTGCATAATACATCAAATGAACTATGACAATGAGATTGAAGAAGTTATGATTCCTAATTTATATGACTCATGAAGTTCACTCAATGTGCTTTGGACTGGTGAGAAATAAAAAATACTTTTAAGTAAAGATTGAATAAATAAAATGATATATTGCATGTATAGAAGTTATAAATCTTAGATTGTAGATTATAATCAGTTGAAATTATCTTATGTTAAATTGAGAATCTTTAAGAAAGCTAAAAGCATTGCCATTGTTATTACTAATGGTGACACTAATATTTGTCTTGGTTGTCCTAGCTTCAAATAAAGTCCCACCTTGGCCTATTCAATAGTCTCAGTGAGGTCAACCTTGACAGAATAGAGAATTTTCTTGATAGCCTATAGTAGAAACTCCTTCTTTATGTCATAGTAGAAGCTTGGAGTAGAGTCTCAATGGAGCCATTGTGAGGTAGATAGGTGGTGCTGAGCATGGCTTCTAGCAACCATGAAGCGATGTGGTTCTTTTATTATGCAAGAAAGGACAAATTTAATAAGGGAGGAGAGGAAGGGAGGGGGGGGGGGGGTGGAGAGGGGAAGAGATAGGAAGGACTTCTTGGAAGGAAGAGGATTAGGAGTAGGATCTTCGGGGAGCCACTATTAAGCAAACATGTGGTATTAGAAGCTATTTTAGAAGATATTATGAAATTAATCTACTTTTATCTACTTCTACTTATTTATATTATCTAGGTAATAATTATAGTAAATATATATATATACATATATATATATATATTATAATATATTTATATATTATAATATATTTATATATATATTTATATTATATTATATCAATATATTTATATATATATTTATATGATGATTGATATTGAGATGGGATGATGTACTAATTTCTGGAGACAATGATTATATAATATAATATAAATATATTATATTATATTATATTATATATATATATATATATATATCCGTGATATTATCCCCCTTTCTAAGGACAAGTTCCACGAGGAGCAATAATCATATGTTGAGATTCAAAGATGCAACAAATTATATTTGTCATGTATTTTGATCTTTATTTCCTTCAAAAGTAATTGATAGGTCCTTTTATCCATTGCTAATGTCTTATTCCAACGCGGTGTCATATTACGTGCTTTCCTGCTCGAGAACGCGCCGGGCGTCTGGCTGTAGAAAGTAGTATGGAGATTCGTCGATAGTCAAGCAGTCTATCAGTTTTTGACTGCTGGAATATATACGACTGCAACAATGTACCGTAAATCTATACGGATGCTCTTCGACTGCTTGTCGAAGTCTTTTTTTTTTTTGCCCCAACCGATAGGTCTCTAGACGTTACAGAGAACCCCGAACAACCCAAACTGTTAATCTTCAATACCCCTTTGTACTTACGATCTTGTATCCACTGACTGTCCTGTTAGATTAACCCAATAAATTTCATTCACTCCGCATACTCAATCCTATAGACACCCCTTTAATCTTTCAATCACAGACGTAACTCGATTTTACAAAACAGTCAAGAGTATTCAAACCCACTTCATTTAAAAATCCCGATTCACCATTACAACACTGACTTCAGCAGCGATTGCCTCAGTCTTCCCAAAACTCTACGAAGAAGAAAAATCCAAATTCTATGTCTTTCCTTCCCCGACCCGAAGCATGAAGCTCCTCTCTCTAATTCCCTTGATCTTCAAAAACCTCCAATGAAACCGAACTGGTAACCTTGCAAAAGCTTTGAAAACTAGCTCCCCCCCGATTCTCCCCGAAAAGAAAAAAACCTTCCCCCTCAAAACTATATCCCCCCTAACCTTATCCTCTGAATTTCTTCAATCTTCCGTCTTAGATCCGGAATTGGCTCCCACCTCAAGCTTGGATCCGAAATTGGCTCTCGCCGTCAAGCTATCTCCTCCGTTTTTACCTTTAAGAGATCCATTTACCGTAAACAACATTCCCTGAAATGGCACAGAGAACAGGACAGCCTGAAACAGAATCGAACCCCGTAATCGGGACCACATTGAGTCGCCCGACCAATTCAGGTCTTATATTGGGAAAGATGCCCGTAGTAACCTGGATGTTCTGTAATTGGGTCAAATTGGTCCTCGCGTCAGATTGGCTAAGACCCGTAGTAAGACCTGGATTTCCCGTAATTAGACTGCATTGGGTTGACCGGCCAATTCAGGTCTCATATTGGATAAGAGGACCCGGATTGGATTATCGAAATTGGATCCAATTGGCTCCTCGAACCCGTCGTGTGAATTGGTCCTTCTCTTCCTGCTGACTCCCGTTATTGGAATCGAACGGAGCATTTCAGTATGCCCCGGCTGACTGTAACGGAGTGACTGAACCTGACCACTCAGTATTTGTACTGGAGTTGGTCGATGCTCCCAATATTCGAGGTAACTGAATATTAATAAAATTCCCCTTTCTTTTTTATTTTCACTGTATACTTGTGTTACAACACGACATCCACCCCCTCTGAACCTGTGCATCCTCCGGTATGCACCAATTTACCCAATTGCAGTTTGATCCAGAATATATCCCCTGCGTCTTTGTTCAGTTCGTCTTCGTCACCTTCATTATCCAAATCACTTTCATCTTCTTGCTACGGAATCTCTGTACCTTCATTAAGGTCTTCCATATTCATCTCTGCGTGTCTTCGTTTAAATATTTTTACTCGCTTCCCTACAATTGGTATTTTTAATTTTGTACCATCTAACTCCCGTAATGAGTAAGTCGCATTATTATGAACAGTTGTTACAACATATGGTCCAAACCAACGTTTTGAAAATTTCCGCAAAGTACTATGTTGATTATCCAGACTATTGTCATAAACAAGTACCCAGTCACCTTCCTCGATTGCTTTTGGTCTCAATCGATGTTGCTTATCGAATCGCGCCTTATTTTGTAACCTTGCTCTTTTTAACCTTTCCAATGCTATCTGGACATCTTCCGTTCTTTGCTCCAATTGTCGAATCCTAATAGCCAGAAGTTCTTCTCTTGTCAATCCATCTTCCCATGGTAGCATACTCCAAGTAAGTACCTTTTCTTCAATCGGCATAATTGGTATTTGACCTGTCATAAGTTCTACTGGCATATATCCTGTCACCGAACTATGTGTTGTTCGATCAGCCCATAATGCAAATGACAAAAGCCGTGGCCACTCTTTAACTTTCCCATTACAAGCTTTAACCAATGCTTTCACAATCGACGGGTGACCGCGTTCGCTTTTCACATTCCCTTCCGGATTATAAGCAGTAGTCAGTGATAGTTTAACTCCACATTTTTCAAAGAACTTACGAGCTTCTTGTGCATTTAATTCTCCACGATCTGCAGTGATTTTTCCTACGCACCAGTAACGGCAAATGACATCTTCAAGCAAAAACCTACAAATCCCCTTTGTAGATTTTGTCCTCAATGCTCTTCCTTCTACTAGATTTGATAAATCTTCACGAGCTAAAACCAAATATCTCATCTGCCATAACCCAACCGGCATAATAACCAAATCAACAACCAATTTAAAATGAATAGCCAGAGGATACGTAGGATGAAGACCATCTCGATGTCGGATATTAGAATACGATTGACAGATTTCACATGACTCTACAAATGAGAGCACATCTCGATACATATTTTTCCACCAATATCGTTCCTTGAGTTTAGCAAAAGTAGCCCAGATTCCTCTATGCCCTGCCCATAAACTATCATGAAACTCCTTTAATAATTTTAGTTTTTCTTCCCTTTTGCCTATCACTCATTGTGGCATCCCAATTCCTTTCTTCGGTCTCTTCCATAAGAATCCATCTCAAAGTAAAAATCCATATGCTTTTTTTCTTATTTGTTTGAATTTTTCTGTAGACCAATTCCCCTGCTTAGACAAGGTATTCAAATAATGACCAATATCCAATAATTCTCCTTCATAAGATTCTTCAAGAAATAGCTTGTCTTCTCTGTTGAGATTTGATACTGAATAGAATTTCAATCCGACATCATCAATGTCTTCAACCATTTCGTCCTCCCTCTCGTATCTTGCTCGAGATAGCATGTCTGCTACTAAATTGTCCTTTCCAGTGATATGCTTAAATTCTGGATTTAGTGACTTAATATAAGCAATCCATCTCAACATTGCAATATTTGGCATTGAACAGTTAATAATCATTCCAAGCAATGGCAAGCAATCTGTTTCAATTACTACTACTGCCCCAATCAGATAGTCCTTTTCAGCTTTCATAGCCGAAACGACTCCCCAAATTTTTCTTTTGACTTACGAATATGCACGCTGACGAATATTTAAAACTTTAGCCCCAAATCGAACTGCAAATCTACTCCCATTCGAATCATCTTGACCCATCGCCCATCCAACGGCAATTGGACTAGCGTCTATAGTAAGAATCACTGGTCTATTGCACTTATAATCAACCTTCCTCAATATTGGAGGTGACATCAATAATTTCTTCAATCTTTGCATTGCTTGAATATGCCTTTCTTCCCATTCAAATCGGTAACCCTTGCGT